AACATGTGGTAATTTCTCCTAAGTTACTTTTACCTAGGTAAGTTTGACTAACCTTCTCTACGTGGCAACATGCCATTGGCCTACCTAAACCTTCTAGAAGCTTCCGGAATCCAAGGTTGAGGTGGCGACATGCCATTGGAAGCTTTTAAACTTCTACAAGCTTCCTAGCCACTAAGTCAACATTAGACTTAGTCTAGCCAATCATCTTTCATACATTTAGTCAAACCAATCAAATCCAAGCTTCTAGTCAATTATCTAATCACTTGGAATCTAGAACTTTTGTATAAGACAAAATAGAAGTGCTCACTCCATTCTTCTAGAATTCCGCTAATTATTTCGCCAACTATAGACATTGTAGCTAAACTTAGTCATGACTAGATAAACTTAGTTATAACTAACTAGTTTAGTCATAACTAGCTAGTCTTAGCTATGCCTTGGCTAATCATCCTTAATCACTTGACCACTTCTAAGACTTAGTACATATGTGCAACACCCGGTCTTACAGTACCGCATCCGGCTCAGAGAGCGCGCATAGTGCGACATGCTCATAAGGAGTTGGGACATTTTGGAGTGAAACGTACATACAACTTACTCCTTGATCAATATTGGTGGCGTGGTATGCATACTCAGATACAACAGTTGGTATCACGTTGCATGGTTTGTGATCGGGTGAGGGCATCGTTCAATGCCCCTACACCAAAGTTACATCCATTACTCATCATGGGGTTGGGTTACCGTTGGAGTTTGAACTTTGCTAGACCACTACCTTTGACAGTACGACATCATCGGTATGTGCTGGTCATGGTAGATCATTTTTCCAAGTGGATTGAGTTGGTGGCATTACCTGACAAGGCGAGTGAGGGAACAGTGTATGACTTCCTTGACAGGGTGCTTAGTCACTTTTTTGCACCTGAGGTGTTGATCGATCAAGGTATAGAACTTCAGGGTGAGTTTCAGGTCTTGTGTGACAAGGCACTGATTGATCATCGAACCATATCGCGAGATCATGCGGAGGCGGATGGTTTGGCTGAACGTGTTGTACAGACGGTGAAGAAGGCTTTGCGCAAGTATGGCTTATAGAAGGGGCATCTTGGAAACTAGGATATTCAGTTATCATGGTTGGCCATGGGATATTGGTTGAGTCGTCAAGCATCCTTGACTTCCAACTCACCATATTTTTTGTTGTACAGGCGAGATCCAGACCTACCGACATCAATTCGTCGTGAGACTAGCGAGGTGGTGAACCTTGATGACCTGAACATGTGGGTGAGAGTATGTTCTCAACATGCAGAGCTCTTTCAGAGAGTTATGCCTGTTGCGTTCGAGAATTTTGCGATTGCTCAACATAGAGATACGTTGTGATACACAACCAACCGGGGAGGAGGATATCAATCATCGATTTGTAGATTCCATGTGGGAGATTACGTCTATCTACAGCCGACTGCACCGACAACATTCGATGTGACGGCGGGAAAACTATTATGCGAGTGCAAGAGGTGTTATCTTCTGGAGTTCTCATGTTGGAGCATCGTGACGATTTTGTTTGGAAGGATCATGTGCGCAATTGTCGCCATGTCACCTCCCAAACGTGGATGGTACCATGGACCCAAGCTTAGCAATAGTACGTGATGGCATGAGGTGCATGCTATGTGGGTCAGCTAGTCAGGCTGCTTGTATGTTGGTGTGTGATAGTTGTTCAAGGGGATGGCATATGTCGTGTCTGACTCCACCTATCGATGTTGTTCCGGCTAGACGATGGGTTTGCCCTTGATGTACTTCGGAGGGGTAGATGACTTGATATTCACGTGTTATGAATTACAGATAGGCGACTAACGATGAGGCGACATAGCACCCGCCCTACTGGTTCGAACATCCACGAAGGTGTATAACATGTAGTTGTAGATAGGACTACCTGGGAGTCAGAGGGACCTAATCGCCAGCTAAGGGGGCAAGCTGTGGTACATTTGAGTGTGTACGCTCTCGTGACCTATGTGTGTGTGTGTATGTATGTGTGTAGCATGTCAGCAATGTAGAGTGTATGCTACAATTCGTCTAGTATGTGCACTGGCCGCAATATTAAGTCTTGATATGACCCAAATGGATGTGGTTACAGTTTTTATTTATGGATATTTAGAGTAGAAGCTCTACATGAGACAACCAGTTGGCTTTGAGGTCAAAAAGGCTAGGAGAGGTTGATTTGTAGATTGATGAAATCACTATATGGACCGAAGCAAGCTCTTGAGCAATGGAATACACGTTTTGATGAGTTTATGAAGGCACAAGGTTTTCTACAAAGCGTGTATGATCCTTATGTCTACATGAAGAATGTGAATGATGAAACGTTCAATATCATCATTCTAGTACTATACGTTGATGACATGCTCATCTTGGCAAAAAATCAATCTGATGTCGATGAATGCAAGAATCAGTTGAAGTCTGCATTTAAGATGAAAGATATGGGGAAATCAAGGAGAATATTAAGCATGGATATTTATAGGAATTTTGAACTGAAGAAGCTATGATTGAATTAAGACAAATATGTTTTCCGTATACTTGATAGTTTCAACATGGCCAATTCAAAAGAAGTATGGACTTCTCTGCCATTTAAAGTCTTCGCGACTCAATGTCCTACAGATGTTGTGAAGAAAGATAGAATGTCATGTGTTCACTATGAACAAGCTGTAGGCAACCTCATGTATTTAATGGTGTGCATTAGGCATGATATTGCTCTGGCAATGAGGAAGGTGAGCAGGTACATGTCGAATCCATTAAAAGTTCAATGATAAGCTATGAAATGAATTCTAAGATATCTGAAAAGTATTATGGATTATGGTTTATTTTTTATTGTTTATTTTTTGATAAACTATTGGATAATGCCAAGTTCTTGTTTGGCTACGTTGATGATGATTACAAACAAGATTTAGACAAAAGTAGATATTCAACTGGATATGTGTTTACACTTAGTTGAAAACATTGAAAACATTAGTTGGAGATCTACCTTGCAAAAATGTGTAGCTCAATCAACAACAAAAGTTGAGTATGTGGTAGCAGCAGAATCGGCAAAGGAAGCTATTTGGATGGATAGGTTTATCATGGAGATGGGATTGACACATAGCGTGGTCAATATTCATTGTGATAGCTAGAGAGTGTTTTACATTTGGTTGGAAACCAAATCATGGATAGCAGAGTGAAGCACATCCACATCAAGTATCACTTTATTAGACAAACAATGTTTGATAAAACAATTTAGTTGGTCAAGATCAACAGTAAACTCAATCCAACTAATGCGTTGACCATAGTTATTACTTTGAAGAGTTTCAAACGACATTGTGCTATTATGCAAATTGTGCATAGGGAGCACTATAGATATGGTTTCCGGTTACCTCTGTATATTACTTTTTCATGTTATGGCTACGGTTTAATGCTAGTTAACTCTCATTTCAAGAGTAATCTTGTGTTAGGTTTCCGTCTAGAACTTCCTGCTGAGAAAAAATATTGGTTAGAGAGGTAACTGAGATTTTTTAACACAAATTAAGGAGTAGATTGTTGTATAAAACTCTATATGTTATTACTCTAGCATGTTATAGGAGTAATAAAATAGTTTAGAGATTTTACAAAAAATTTTTGACATGAGTTAATGAGTATATCGTCGAGTTACTTCTGTCTGTTATAACTTTATATTGTTATGAGAGTAATAATATAGGTAAGAGAGGTTACTGAGATTCTTTAGCACCAATTAAGGTGAGGTTATTGAGTTCACTCTATATATTATTACTCTATATTGTTATGGCTACGGCTTAATTCTAGTTAATTCTCGTTTAAAGAGGTATCTTATGTTAGATTTTCGTTTAGAACTTACCGCTGAGTAAAAATATAGGTTAGAGTGGTTACTAAGACTCTTTAACGCAAATTAAAGTGTAGATTGTTGAAGTTAATTTTGATTAAAGAGTAAATTCATGTGTAAATATTTATAACTGAGTTTGGTGGCTTACATTGGATATATATATCTCCTGATGTTTCTGCAGATACTATCATGTTTTCTCTTGAAGTAGCAAACTCTATTGAATGTATTACTTCGTGGACGTGGACCTTGAGGTTGAATCATGTTGAATCATGTTCTTGTGTTGTTGGTTTGCTCAGTGTGATTTCAAGTTTTACCGTTAGAAAAATGTCTAAATAATATTGAGGATATTTTTACCAAAGTAGAACTTTAATTTTTTTAAGTAAAATTCCTTTAACATTATGCTTTTAGGATATTTCAAAATTTTTGAAAATTGAACATAAAAAAATGGAAATTCATTTTACTTTTAATAAATCTCTTGAAAATTCATAGTTTACTTTGGTAAAAAATTACAAGTTCAATCTAATTATTTTTTTTATCTTTAAATAAATATATATCTTACCATGGTTTATGTTGATGCAAGCAAATCTGTATCTTGCTCCCAATAATATCACAAGCTTCAAATATATAGCACAACGAAGTATATAAGTGAATATAATATAATAAAATATATAACTATAATTTTCTCTTTGAATATAAATTCAAAGAATATATGAATATAAATTCATATGTGTAAAAATATTAACTTTAAATTATATTTGACACTTTTTTTTCTCTTCCAACCTGTTTCATAGTTCTGTTCATTATGACCTAGGTTAAGCTTTTATATCCTATATTACAAGTAATCTGCATGATTATGGGCACATATGATGTGGTTTCTTATCATCATTGAACTTATAAAGCTGAGTATACATGCGGGACATTTGAGTTCTAACAAATACATGAATCAAAATATTGACCACTGCATGACATGATAAGTTATAAGGTTTTGTACGATTATGTGCATTTGTTATATGTCATTCTTTATGTCCGAATTCATTTTTAATCAGTGAACATTCATTAATGCTAGATGCTGCAATAAGTAACAAAACTATGCTCTTTGGTACTTATATAAGAAAACGGCTGGGGCCGCTCGTGAAATGCACTACATTCTCTTCAGTCCAACACGAACATAGTAGTTGGAAATTTATGCACATCTATCGAAACTCAACCGAGTTGTACTCGACGTTTTTCCTGTTTTGCTGGTTCTTGTGGCTTTCACCCCTACCGCGGTCGCCCTATGTGGAGTAGGGGCGCATGGAAACCTGGCCTGGCTTGTGGAAATCACTGAATGGGATTTCGATCCTACCAGTTGTTGCGTAGCGTGCATCGATGGCATCAGAGAACATGGTGGACGGATGGCGTGGATTGCAAGCTGGTTCTAGGAATGCGTTTTTGTATTCTGAGAGAGGGGTGGCAGGTGAATTTCTGAAAGTGGCATTGAATCGGTGAATTTGGACTCGAGAATCAGTGTGGGCGCTCTGAGTGAGGAAATTGAATAAATTTCTCCAGAAGAGCGCAAGGAGGGATCAGCCCAGCAGGATGAATTGTGAGGTCTTTTATTTGAAAGAGCTTGTAAGGTTCATTCTCGTATTTCTCATCAACTGTATGTCATACGTTTAATTTTAGGACTTTCGTGCATATATATGCACGAAAGTCATGCACTCAATTGTTCTGAATCTTCTACTTCTTCGGTTCGTACTGTTGTCCATGTTCTTCATCTCAGTTTCCTGGAAATTCTTATATTCTAATTCATCGGTTTCATGTTGTCATTTTCCACCCATGACTCGTTCCAAATTTGATCCAGTTTGTGATGTTCCCAAAGGATAATGTTTGCAAATTTTTGTATTGAAGGTCGTCATTAGTACGATGGCACCTTTGATTTCCGTAGGTCAGCGTTATTGTTTATGCTCAATTGTCCAGATTTGCCATCATCGCTGTTCTCTCCGTCCAGCTTATTGTAGGAATTCTTGAAAGTCTATGTGATCATGCGACAAGTGTTGAGAAGTACTGACAAACATTTTGGTGCATTTGTCACACAAATGCGTGCTTGGGAAACCTGGCTGGAATACCCGCCTCAAGTTAAACTTACCCGGACAGAACTCACATTTATTTTGCAGGAGGTCGAACACTATCAAATTCGGGAGGTCTTGAGATGTGAGTAGATGTTTTCATCCAACGTACATCCTTCGTTATCTGCATTATCAAAATTGGTGACTCCTGTGTAGAATCGATTCGACCTTTGGTCGTGCGTGGTGTAAGTTTTGCAACGCAATTACTTTTGACATCTTCCGTGAAACTGGACATGTTTTTTTTGACAGGTGTTCTGCATACAATCATGTTCAACAGAGCTTTGGGACTTGTTCGACCGAAAGACATTGATTCCGAGCTTTTCGAAATCACATATGTAAGCGCGCAGATGTCGTATCGGTGGACATCTGGTGGCGCGTGTAAGCATGTTCACTTGTAGCCCCAGCGGAAGTTTCTAACCTTAGGTCATGTCATTGACTTTGCTTCTCTGTGTTTCGTTAAATCGTTTTGTCAGGTTCAGTGCGGGGATGCAGCCATCGAGAAGAAGATTGAAGAAAAGATCGACAATTTTGTCAGTTGGGTAGAGAAACACCCGAACAAGAAAAGTCAGGTGACGGTTTATTACATTGGATCTTTGCAGGAACTTTTCAGGCAAATGAGGGTAGATCGAGGGATTGAGCAGATCCAGATATAATATCTACGACAAGTGTACTGTCAGCTGTAGAAGCAGAAATTGTGCTACAAACTTAGAACTTCTTAGCATATGTCGTCTTGGCAGCAGGCCAATTAATTACTCTCATACTCATGATCCGAATATTTGACCACTGTGTAGGTCTGTCTTTCATTTTACGAGACAAGGAACAAACAGATGGCTTGGTTCAGCTCCAAGACTGAACGACTGTATTGGGAGCAATGGTGTATTTATTTGAATGTACAAACAGCTCAGTCGAATCCCAAACCTCATTATGGTGATACCACAGGTATTGTTGGTGGCCTTGTCAATGAGAGGTTCACCTAGCTCGAAAATAAGTACTCGATTCTCACAGGGCTTGCGTTTGAAATTAATACCTATTTGGAAGCTTTTCGTATCAAGATTCATTGGGTTCAGATAATGCCATAGATTGATGAAATATCATAAGTGGATGCTTTGGACGTGAGGATTCACACTGAAATTCTCTCAGTGTTGGGTAGCAAAGAGGATTCATGTATGATTGGGCTTGGCTGAATTTCGGTTAGGGTAGCTCAATATAGTGCTTCCATTTACCGGTTGAAAGAGTTGAGTCGTTGAATGTTGGTCCAAATGCAGACGTGTCGACTGAAGAAAGAGATAAGCGACACGCAGCTCTAGAAGCAGCTCTTAGGGAAGTGATTCTTCAGATTTTGCGCTATGTGAATGAGAAGAAAGATCACATACCACCTGTCATGAGAGGGGCTGATGTCGTCTCTTTTCCCTACGAAATTAACATACCAAGGTACTCCAAATTTTTTGTCTCCTCTCTTCATCGGGAGAAGTGTCCGTGCATAAAGGTGTTTGAGTCGTAGGTGATATGACTTCCGCTTTCGTGATGCACATATTGAAGCCCTATTTCTTGGTTGGATGCAGTTCATCAGATTCATCCTTTGGTATGGACATGTTCAAGCGAATGCTGCAGACCACACCCCCGGCAATGTTGAGTTGATGTAAAGCTTTGCGAACTCTCCCTTTTTAAATTGTTCGTTGTAAAATAAGGTGTACTGTTTGCCAGATTTATCTTCCTGGTTTATCGTTTTCCATAGAGGGCGCTCCTCCGTGGGCTTACAAATAGAGTAGCACTGCTCAGCTTTGGGTGTCTTATTGTGCTACGAAAGTGCATATGTCGCGGTGGAATCGCTTACAGAAGGGGTAGATGAAGAATATGAAGAAGAGATAGTGTCCGTGGATAGCACCGTCTCACCTTGGTTAAAGGTTGATAGTGTAATACCTTAGCCTCAGATTTAATCATCTGCAATTCTTACGGCAGATATAATACTCCTCCATTGGAGTTCTAGACGACTCTAGATGCAAGCACAAGTGGTTATGGCTCTCTTCCTTCTATCAGTTAGAACAAGTCCTTATTTGCTGTCCATGATATCAATTACAAGGACGTAGTTAGTTTAGCGTCAACCAGTTGAGATATCAACGTGATGACTACTACCATCCATGGCAGCGCATAAAGACTCTAATTATTTGACAGATAACGTTGTACATAAATGACTTAAGCATTTATCGCAAATACTTTGTTTTCATCTTCCTTCCAAAATCAATATCATGTAGCGCCTACAGTTCCCCCTTTCAAGGCCACATCTATCAGGAATAGACTCGTCTCATCACGCATATACTTATGATCGTGGTCGATATGTCTTTTCTTTGCTTCACTCGGATGAGTTGTATGAATCAGAATCTCTGCATTAAGTCAATCCATCACTGAAATTCTAGCCTACTTTTATCTCTTGCGAGAAGGCATGATATACTTGCAAAACGCAAATGGACCCCCTGCCGCTAATGGGAAGTAACTTCACACGAGAACAAACAGTTTCTGAACATCGTATGAGAAGGTTTTTCGGTATTCCTCAAGTCCAATGTGCAATGGTCTATATTCTCACTTTCTATATCAGATTTGGAGAAGCGATAAATGTCTCAGATTATGTGTCCGGCATAGAATGTAACATCTTCTCCTCTTTCGTGCTGTCGAATATCGGGAAAAATGCTTTTTAAAACGGGCTCTTGTCAATGTGTATGCATGAATAACAGTCACTGGAGCCTCTTATTCGGTGAATGTGCAGTGACAACAAGTTTTCCAATCATGACATGCACTGACATGCACAGGTGCACGCACTAGGATCACTCGTATAGATGTCCAGATCTTTTAATTCTGGATCTGGTGTCTGTTAGGTAAAGTGTTCTTGGATCAAGTTGGTAAAGTCCCATCATAACTCCACTTTTGGAAAACTTGTTTTGAAGAGCATCCACCTCAGGCGATACGATTCTGGACTTACTTTCTGGTTTGACATGGTCAAGGTCTGTATGCATCACTGGACGTAATTCATATGATGAACGAGCAAAATCCAGAGCAATGAGTCTACAGAGAATGTTGACACTGACCCGGGTCCCCCGCCACCCAGAAGCTCTTTACGATCAAAGCCTGTACTACTCATTGCAGTGGTGGGTGAAACCCACGTATCTAGGGCCAATTTTGAGAAGTCGTGCGAAGGATTGGCTCCACAGAATAAAGATTCTCTGTCTCGAAGCTTATGTTGCGAAACTATTGCTAATATTGTAGAGATTCATGCTCGCATGCACGTTCTCCTGCGCAGCAAGAATGAATGGAGGATCTTGATGCATCAACAGCAACTCTTGAGCAAGCCCCAGGAATTGAATCGTGATCCTGCTACCCTTATATTCTCCGAAAGGCACGAGTTGTGTGACTTGATTACTCATGCTTCTCGTTCTCTGAGCAGAAGTGCATGTAATGGTGGATTCCATATATCCGTGGGCAATTAATTGCATCGACGTACCGATGGGAGTCAATGAATGCTTACACGATGGGGTGACGGACTTTCAGATGCCTATCCAGTTGTCTCCTCATATTTCAGCAAGCAGTAACGTAAATGTGCATCAATCAAGAGCTATCCACCTGGAGATTTCATTGTCCGAGCTACGGCATCCTGAAAAGATTCGTCAATCAAGCTCATTGCGGACATCAAGCACCTCTTTAACCTCCACCATGACCCTTAGAATCCTCGTGGTCTTCGGAATCTCACTCACTCCTAATTCATCTGTCTGATGATTTTTGGGAGAGAATCCAGAATCGTTAGAAAGCCATCTCCAGGAAATCTTCGTGCGTGATTGTAACTCCTGAATCTGGCTGGCTCTCGACGTGTGGCACCCAAAAATGCTCGGGTGTTCACCTGAGCGGACCTCTGGTTTCCTGTCACAGCCGACACCACCAGTTTTAGAAGGATCCAGTAACGCCATCTTCCTGTACTCATTGAGGCCTCCGCGGGGAAATGAAATATGGATTCCCCACTAGATGACAACTTACACCTGACCTCTTGCTTAACGAACTTTGGTGAAAACTCGATGAATAGCTGCAAAGAAAGCCTTTTTGGCAAATGGACAAAAAACAAGACACAAGAATGTCACTGGATTGCGTCCATTATACTACGTTTTTTTCCAACCTAATCAGGAATATCGAGGCTGCAATTGTTGAGAAACTATGAGCAAGTAGCCTTGAATATTAAACCACCTTTCATGATTCTTTAGTTCACTTAGAAAACATCTAGTCGCTCAAGGTTATAACGACAACTACATTAACACTTGGGAAGATTAAAAAGTGAGAGGCGTGATCATGGTAAAGTGTTATAATTTAATCGTGCAGCATCCTGAAATTACCTAGTTATATAATGACTTGATACTACGTGATCTTCCATGAACAAAGGAAGAGAAGTGCGATTCTTGTTATTCTTATTGACATCAGTCACATGGTTAGTATAAGCTGTCAATCGCATTCGCCATAAAAAGTTGTTCTTTCATGTCACGATTAATTGATGGGTGAAACCCCAAAAGTACACTTTTTGAAATAAATTCCAATCATAGAATATATTTTCCGCTTGTGCATTGCAATGCATTGATAACGCCAACAATTAAGCCTTTGATTGCAAAAAAACATCAAAATCAAAGCTACGTTCTTATTGATATTTTGACATCTCGTCGTGAACTCTCACTAAAGTTTCGGTGAGGTAGTAAAACTCATGATGAATCTCACTCAAAGACCTCATACTGGGTATATGATGGTGAGGATGTCATAGTAAACAACAATCTTAGAAGATCAATCTTCATCTTGCCAATCTTTGGAATATAATCACACGTCTTTTTCCTTAGTTGTGTTGGTAATGAGTCTAATGAAATTATTGACAGACCTATGCCTTTAAACGGTTATGAAGGTTTCACGTGAAAACGGTTGAAAGTGTTATGTTTACACATTTTGAATATTTTGATTTCCTTTAATGCCAAAAATGACTAAGTTGTAACATGGGATAACCAATCATCCAACCCAGTGAGGCGAAAGTGAGAATAATCTGAACAAGGCTGCCTACCCTTTAGACCAACTCAATAATAACATTCTGACCTTATAGTTTATATGGAGTCCGAAGTCCGAATACAAAACTTACAACTTTATATCTCTATGTTTCAATAAACGTCCCGTCCTTTTACGCTCGCTTGAGACTTGTAAACTCCAAAAATTTACAAACATATTTCATTCATGTGCAACCAATATGACTTTTTAAAATATTCTTTGTTAAAGATGACAACGCAGGATCACCCGTATTGAGAATAAATGATTTGGACAAAGAAAGAAGGCATTTTCCTTTATGATAAGTAGTTCAAGAAGAATTCAAAAATTCTGCTTACATAGAGATTACTCAAAGTAATTTTTTTGATAAATCTTTTATAAAAAATTTGAATTTTTTGGGCAACCGCCAACGGCAACCAAATAGAAAGCTTCATAACATATTCTGCAGTTTGAGATGCGTATGGTAAGAACTGTTTTATTTCGGCTGACTAATCATCCGAAAATAGCCATAAAATAACACAAGGCACGCGACAGTGTTCGAAGTAGGTGTATTAAGTAGTCAACTTGTTGGTATATTAGACCCTTGTTGTTTTACGATGAGGAATCACAGAAATTTCAACTGAACGCGTGCTCAGATCGACTTATTTCATCTGGTGATGAAATAAGTCGATCAGAGCACTTGCAGAGTGCGCCGGAGCTTGAATGGATCGGCAAAGCTCATGTCGGTCCCGTCCAGAGCAGCTAGCTCGCTAGCTCTGTAGAAGTGAGGCTGTGAGAATGGCAAACCTAAGCTAGTGATGGTGTACTATTCAGAGCTCCGTGCGGACCAGGACACTGCATGAACATGCAAACACGTACGAGGAGTTATCGGCAACACTCAGAGACGTGACTACGATAGTTCTACGACAATGACAAAACATTTTTCATTTTTCTTGTTTTCAAGATAACAGACTATGTATGAAAGGGAGGAAGCTTCATACAATTTGTTCCACCTATTCGAATCTGGAAATTATAATTTCAGAGTGCCCAAGTCATTGTCATGTGCCTCAAAGGGATTGCCGTTGGCGAATATAAACAATCAGAGATGTCACATGTGCATCATCTCGTTGTTTATGTAGGATTCTTTCGATGGATTACTCTATGAATTCTCAAGTAAATTTGCCCACTTCTTAATTGAGACAAGAAACAGCGAGGAACATTTGTAGGTCAGGCGTGAGCGCAGGGAAGCACCCAATTCTCTTTTTGATTATGAGTTGCACCAATATCATGTTTTCAAATATCTTCTTTTCTGTTATATAATATTTAAGAGCTATGATTTGGGAGTAATCCACAACTAACAAAGAAAGAGTTGAAAGGACAAAATCAATTCAGAGATGAAGAAATATTCTACACCTGAATGAATGTGAGTTATCCTCTGTTTCCTCGGAACTTGATGAAGAAGACGATAGCACTGGTTGCATTGATATAAGGTAACCGCTTATTTCACCATAGGTAGACACAGATTTACACTTCATCACTGGGATATCTTGAAGTTACTTAGAAATAATTGTAAGAAGCATCTGAAACTTGTTACAAATCAATGCGTAAATAAATATTGAGAACTTCTTGCACATCATTGTGATTTCTTGGAAATCAATGCAGAAAAGACCATCCATTTATTGCAGACCAGCTAACAGTGCATAATTACTCTCTACGGCTGGAGGTAGGTCAGAATATTCTGCAGAAGCCTTTGTTTGATATTGCTTCTGGTTCCCAGTTGCACCTTGGGGAGAAGAGTTGTGCAAAATAATAAAATTTCGTTTGTACCTCTTGCAGTTTGCAATCGACAAGTACGAACGAAGTCGTTCCCAGGCCCTTTCCATAGCCCAGATTTGTCTCGCCTTTACGAGACTTGTTCCTCTCACTACTCAACGCCAATCCAACCGTCAGTACATCAGTACTCATCTTGCATTGGTGTGCACAATGTTTCCCTCGCTGCAACTCGGGGCGCTTTTTACCAACAAGCGTAAAGTCTGTTATATAGGGCATTGTGTTCCTTTCGCATTCGTCCTCTTTCAAGTGGGGTGTGTACGTGCATCCCGGTCTTTCTCATTCGATGTCCCTGGAGTTCCTCCTTCTCGTCGTTGTAGTTCCTCTACCCACTTTCAACTCGCACCAGAATGCTTCGAAGGTACGCGTCTGGTAGCTTGTCGAGTTGTCACCTTTCAAGCACGAAACAAAACCTCTTATACATACAAACATACTGGAAAAATAAATGGAACGATACCATCAGGTACTGAATGGATGCAACGAATCAATTAACGAATCAATTCGGAAGATTTTTAATATTGTAGAAAAAAACTGCAACGTTCATGTCAAACTATCTACAAATATGACATCCTCAGAAATATGACCCAGAGCCATTGCTCTCACATAGACTGCGCAATAAAGTAATGAGAGTGATTTCTTTCTGCCTTCTACTATAATCTGATGTTTGTGAATGTACGAGTGTTCACTGCCTTGGTGCGAGAAACTCCACTTCCAGTCTTCCAATTGTGAACATTCTATCCCGGCGTCGCCTGTCCCCCGTCGTCTGGCGACCCAAACCAAGGCATGATGCAAAGCAACTAATAAAAAAAGAGTTTGGAGATCTGTCTTCTCCCGTGCTTAGGTTAAGAACGAAGTATGATTGAAGTATTGTGGTATGAGTCAAACAGGGGTTACCATTTTTCTAGTTGGCAAATTCCGGCAGTCATAATATCTGGCCTATGAAAAAGGTGCATTCCCATTGTGAAGTAGCATAACTTTCGATCCTACGCAGTCCTACTACTACGACGACGTCATAATGATGAGGAGCCTTTTTAGTAGAGATGATTCTTATCTTCTGTCTCCAGTAGGTGGCGAAAGTTCTTTTTCCTCTCCTTCAATTACCCACGCTCCACAAGATCTCCTATAATTGCCAGAATGCGATTCTGTGGACCCATCTGGCAAGATTTCATCCACTTTGCCTCCGGCAACTTCAGCTAGTTCAAAAGTCTCTTGAAGCTTAATCACTTCACCCCTCTCTCTGAATCTCCTCATGAGTCATGCCCCCTCGTTTTACTTTGTTGGCAAAGAAGATAGATGCTTATTACTTCCTAACTCTTTCCTGATTCGTGCTAAACACTCCCCGTCTCTGACGCTACAGCATGAAGTGAATATCCAAGGGAGTGCTGGCGAAATGATCACTTTCCGTCCCGTACACACTTGAATCTGCTTTAGTCCACCCCACCACTGCCTGCCTGACGCGTGCTTCTTCTATGAAAACCCTCCACTTTCTTGAGCCTTTGTATTTGGCTCTTTATTGCACGTCTAGGCAGAACGACGAAATGATGAACAATGGCATTTGCTACACACATTTCTCCCAAAGGATATATTGTAATCATAAAGAATTTAACATCCATGATTCTCTAGAAACTGACATTTGTTTTCCTCTTATCGCTTGCATCGGAAGGGAGCACTTTCTACTTGCAAATTTACATGTTTCCCTTTTCCGCCTTTTGGGATGCCTCTCTATCGGAATGCTTTCTGGATGGGTCAGATTCCAGCGGATGTAGGTGGGAATTCCATCGTCAGGGTGCAGTGATGAGAACCTTACCCACTAAACCGATGACCAGCTCGAAATTTGGTGCAATTCTTGAAAGTTGAAGTGTATAAAATCCCGGGTTCTATCTTCCGCACTGCCTTATTTGGATTCTTCTTTCAACTTGGATTTTAGCTCGAACCAGTTCTCTCCCACGGCACAACTTCATCTGACAGAGATTTCACCCGCTGGACACATTATAATAGTACTCCAAGTAAGGAGCAATCCCGTCACTTAGTGACAAACCGAGATGTTTATGGTTGTCATGTTCGAAAATGATATCGCCTCAAAACGGGGCTCTCTAACCTACCGCTAAATAGGGGCTCAGTTCCAAACCCCGAACCCTTTACACCAAAACCATCGGGATCCAGAAGTTCGTGATTTCCGCACTCGAGATTTCCACGTTTTAGAGGCAAAGAGCAGGTGGACCTATTATGGGGCCTCACGTCCAATTGATCTGCTTGGATGTGTGCTACACTCTGGTTGATGCATCTCAAAGCAACCAGTGTTCATGACCTTGCTGCTCTCGGTACAAATCCGGACAAATTAAACCAGAGAAGACACGTCAAAGCAAGTTGGTCTAGGATTCTTGCAACTTGTGCTCCTCTAAGAAGTTCTATTCTGTAGCTCACAATCAGAGTCTCCCATCTACATCTTGCATGCTACCGATGTCATACGAAGACGGCGGGGTAATACACGACCTATATTGTTCAAAGGATCCATATCCTATAGTGTTCAAACCACAAAATTACCAAGAGCTTGTACGTTGCCAAAATGAAGAGGTCTGATCTAACATTCTCCCCAGCAGCAAGCCAAACGGTATTGCAGGTTGTCCGAAATCATCAGATGTGAAAATGCTTACAAGCGTGTCATTTACATAGTGAGGCTCAGAAGAACCATTCATAGAATTATCGCGATGTATTTTGAACGGAAAGATCCACCCTGCACAACAGAGAGTGAGACAATCAGACCGTGAACTTTATCGTTTGGACCGGAAGTGCAAATCATGTCGGAACCGGTGACGGACGATTGTGCGTGCGCATGCAAATCTAAACGGAACACGAGGCTTGCTGCCGCATCTGTCCAGACCTCTGAAATAGAGGTGCCCAACAAAAAATCGCAACAACACCTACATACATGACCGATACGGAAGTCACCAAACCGCAGCTAATTTTAAGGTCTGGAGTCCAGGGCAAGCTGTATGTTCACACACAAAAGCAGAACCTCTTGCGAGAAGGGAAAATTGAAGTGGGAGATCTCAGTCCATTGCTCGCCAAAGAAAAATTGTGTCCAAAGTCTCACGTTGACATGAGGCAACGGGTATGGTTCTGCCTCATTAAGGAACTCATGTCCAAATGCTCACGTGGAAAAACAGGATCCAAGTGAAAACAGCGGATAGGACCAAGACGAGGCTGGCCCAAATAGTAGAGGACGAAAGCATGGCAGCCAAGACATGTATTATAAGGCAGAATCTTCTAATAACTGTACTTACGGGATCTGATCTCCTTTTATCCGTATAGACCGAGCGTGAAGGATGAACATGGATCCAGATGTGGTTCGTACTTTGTTTAGCCTTCACATGTCTCCCCTCCTCTTCACAAGGATCAAACCTCTTGGACTCGCACTTACTTATTCACGGGAACGGGAAAAGGTCTCTCTCGTCCTCGTCCTCATCCTCGTCCTCATCCTCGCCAGTGCACCGCCATCTGTTTGCGGACTTGTGTACATCGTTGTAACACCCCGATGATTGAGATGTAATTGAGTTGTGATTCTCCGTTGCCGTCGGGCTAAACCCAGAGGGAGAGAAGGGGTTTGGTTTCGAACATCGTCTTATTGGTGAAAGGTCCGCCCGCGAAGGAATGACGCTAAATCGGGAATGGAATCATAGAAACTTTGGCCAAACTGGATTATTCTCTCCTTATTTCTACATGGAAGCTGATGCCCATCTATTGATCCAAGGGCTCCAAACACATACCACAACGAAGTATTGTGCGTAAGATATTTCGACCTTCTTTTGAGAAGGTCGAAAATTCTTATCCAAAGTTCTTGCACTCTTCGAAAAGTATGAACTGTGAAAGTGATAGAATTAGAACAACGCAAAATGAAGCGGAACAGAAGACTTAATATGTCTAGAAATCACCTCATGTTCCAATCCTTAGGTTCTTAAGTATCACAAAGAATGCCCAGGTTAGAAAGGTTGTCGTATCTAATTGTAGAAACTTAACTATCAAAACATGGTCTTGCCTTTAAAACGAACATACACAGGCGTGAAAATTTGTATATACGATCTAACCAATAGCTAGACACAAATTCTCAATGTTAAAGCATATCAAAACATGCTGACTAGATTTTAGAGTTTGACACTTTTCTATAAGATCAATCAATTGACATCTGAGACAGAAAAATAATATATGCAGTTCCCACGCGTTGAAGAAGCAAGATACAACACTACGTTTACATTTAAGAAATGAAAGCATATAACAGAAGAAACATTGAGATTTGACACGTTTTAAATTTGGATAAGTTTCATGATCATCAGATGAAGAAAAATTTACGTATATTTTGATCATGAATTATAACAAACGGTCAGATATATAATCAAATCTAAATTTAATGAAGAAAATTTGAAGCTAGCATTCATATTCTTAATAATCAAGCTCCAAATAATAATTTTAGATATAAGATGGAGAAGAAAATTCTAATGGTTTCTTAATCAATAATATTGGTTAAATTTCTATCATTTTCGATTTAATTAGGTGCATTTCATTTCCATTTTTTAATTTGTGTTGAAACATGTGGTAATACCTATAATCAGATGTATTAATCAATCATAATTACTTCTCAGCTCCCAAGAATTTCATGGGAGATATCTTTGTGCTTGCTTTGTGAAAACTTTAACATTCGATAACGGAGAGGTGCCAAAACACAATTGGATGATGACCAAAAACCACACGAAGAATGAGGTGCCAGAAATAAAAAGAAAGGGCTTCCGGTTTCAAGACTTTGGAGAATTGTCTTTAATAGTTATTCAATGAAATCTAGGTTAAGTAAACAAGAGAAGGTTCGAGAAGCTCCCACATACGTAGAGTATCTAAATTTCCAACGTAATGTATCTTCTGAAATATTCTTTGATTTTCTCTTGTAAAAGCAACATATATAGCACAACCATATCTCTTTGCGGCATGCATGTAGATCTTACTTCAAGTCTACTTATGAGAGCTATAAATGAGAGTGATATCCAAGCAAGTGTGATTTTTTATAGCTTTATCTTGTATATGTGGTCAGCCTGGCAGTGGGTATTCGGTCCATGTCGAATTGAGTACCATCAGAAGCAACACAAATTACCTTTTTCCGATTCTAAATATCATTCCTTCAACAGACTTTAGGAGAAGGAGATAACATTCAACTCCTTTTTTTAAGAGCTTCCGCCTTTTCGCGTTGGAGATTTTGTATTCCAAGAGGAATGTTTCTGTATCTTTGGAGACAGCGTCCCAAGAGTCCTTTTCAAGAAACCGTAATGCAGACAACAGAGCTCAGAATGAACACATGACTCGTTCGAGCATCAGGCTCGTCACACCCACATGTCATATCATCGGGTTAAAGGGCAACTGGACATATGCACAACAATATTCAGTTTTGGACTTCGATCAAAGTAGGTTCTGATGGAGATCGTGCCAAATTTAGCAATATTTGCAAGTTGCACCATCAGAGGAAGATCCGGTGCTTTATGGAAGCTGTATGAAGAAGTGGCAATGTCCTAACAAAACGTGCTTCGGGTTTTCGATCATCTCATGGAGAGGTCCCAACATCGTTGTATCGTATAATATTTTGCTCTATCTTGCTTGCAACGGAGTAGATTTGTACCCACGTTCGAGTGATATGATCCGATATACAGCACGAGACATCTATCAGTATCTGCGCAATCCTTTTGTTCATCCGAGGCCTTCGAGGGTCCGTGATTTTGTCTACGAGATCTTACAGCTCTTCAGCCTGGACATTTCTTTTTCCTCCGAATGAAAGAAGACCTGAGCCAGGGTTGACAAAATTCTCCAATTTGTAAATATATACTTGTGGAACGACTAAGATCTTCCATCAGCCATGTCCTGATTTGAACAGGTGGATGTGAAGTCCCGATGGACAACTGGATCGCAACTGGATTGCTTGCAAAAGCAGATTCCAGTAGTCCCATCTAAATTTTAGAAGGCATCAAATCACGCATCATTATTCAGGAGGATCAACAGCAAAGCCATTTGTGCCTTGCACACCCATGTATCCACCATCACTTTTTATGATGGCGGTCAAAGGCATACTGGCCTCTTGAGGAGATCTCGTGGAGGAAAGTGCACTTTGGACAAATATCGTAACGGGTCTGCACCATGCTCGGACCGTGACGAAGATCAGTGTGATCTTTGGACATAAAAGCTCGAGGGAGGATTATTGCGGACCGTGGTAGACGGCGTGCCTACCACGGTCAGAGGGCGAACGAGATTTTTCCTCGAGGTCAAGAGATAGAGGAGCTGTGCAGGGTACACGCAATACTACCAATCCATCGGATTTTCTTCACAAGGTGAATAAAATATCATCTATTCGTGGTGCGACTTTGGGCTTGCACATCATTGGAGTAACCCCTGATTGCATTATGATAGACATCGATCCGATCTTTGGTTCGATAAGCTTGCTGCTAATGGGCGAAGTGTGTACCACTAGGCTTGGCCACGGTCCGGAAAATCTGTGGACCGGTTAACCGGTCCAATTAACCGGTTAACTGGTCCAGGATTGGTCCGTATCGGTTACGGTTAACCGATATTTTTAACCGGTCCCGATGGTTAACCGATTAACCATCGGTCCGGACCCCTACGTGGCCGATGGGGAGGGGCTTTAATACCCAAAAATTCTCGATGGCGGAGGGAAAGAGGTGGGCCGCGACTCGAATGAGCCCACGGTTGGACGTTCGGAGACTCAGCTCGAGTCTCCTAACTCGAGCTGAGTTGTACCAATTTGTCAAAAAAATTTCTAGCCAATTTTCTCACACTGAATCACGAATTGGGTACCTCGCTGGTGCCAGAGTAAATTTTTTTCTCGGAACGGTTAACCGGTCCCGACGGTTAACCGGCGGTCCGGACCGTGGCCAAGCCTATGTACCACAAGCGAATGGGATGTGTGAATAATATGATTTGATTTATTCGGCCCTCAGGCAGCCCCCGGCGATGAGAGATCTGACCGCATACGCAAGAGTGAGTCCGTCATGGGAGGAAAATGAGCCGTCATCAAAGCTGAGGGGTGGGAGATGTGGTGATCTAGGAGAACGAGTCACGGAGATAAATGAAAAGAGTCATGTGAAAAGAATGTCAAGTTGAATGGGGAGGAGGGAGGAGGTGCAAGTGACAAACGTGTAGGATCTCATCCTTCGCCAAGCAAGGAAATGGTCAAGGTATGTCTTAATGAGGAAGGAAAAAACAAGTGGGAGGAAATGGTTGTACCTAAGCAGTCCTGTCCGAAGTGGGGTCAATATTTTTCTGTTCAGGCGTACTGAATGAGAATAAAATCTAATTCCACCCAGAAAAAAGAAGAGGGAACAGTTGTTGCTGCTCTATGGGTGGAGAGGAGAGCGAGATTGACACGGGAGGTGGGGTTCGAGCAATCTTTCTGAATCTTGACAATGTGAGTTCAGCTGTTGCTAGCGATTTGTACAACATCGCCTTCACTGTCCTCGGCACGAGTGACAGGAATGATGCGGGAGCGGCACATTGAGAGCGCGAGGGGCTTCGGAGCCGAACGCTTGCTCGCTTTGCGTTGCTTTGCTTGATGGTGTTGTTGACAACAGCAGTCAATGCGGAAGGTTATCAATGAGAATCGTACTGCCAACCTATGGACCTACGGTGCGGAATCATATTCCTTTGCAGATGACTTCCGGCCGGGAGAAGACGAATATTTACCTCGACCGCAAGACACCTTGGGCAGGACATTGCAGCAATCACCAACTTCTATCCAACTTCCGGGCAAACCCTCCATTACTGCAGTACATGCAGCCATGGCCGGGTCCTGCTTTCCTCGCCTCGCACCTTTTTGTACCTGCTTGCTCCAGAGGAAACACAGACCGCTCTACGGCAGACCATGTTGCAGACCACCAGACCACCTAGCGAGCGATTCTGCTTTCAATCATTACGCAAACGATGATCTGCGTCGAAACATGTCACTTCCCTCACTTCTCCGCTGCCGCAGCGAACCGAATATTAACCTGCGGCCCCGATATTCTCGTCCCTGAACGACTATATTCTCGATCCCGACGCAGCGGTCAGCGCCAACGATCAGGCGGCGAGACGAGACTTGACTGCCGAGGCGTTTGTTCCTGAAAAGACCCACACGCCTCCACCCTCTTCATCATGCAAGCAAGCAAGGAAGACCTGCGCTGCCCTCCCCCTGCCCACCCTCCCCGTCTGAAAACGGGCAAAAGGGTTCGAGACAATTCTGCCTTTTCTGCCCTCGCTGGATCGTTTCCTTCGATGCATGCCCCGGTTCCACATCTGTGAGTACATTGCCTGTTCTAAGGCATGGAGGAACCAGGTCATCTAGCCAGACGATGGCTATGCCACCGTCGAGGAGTGTTTGACTTAGAAGGGCTGAGAATGGCCGAGGCACTACTCATGTAATTTTGCACTTACGATGTTTTATTTATCTCCATGGAGAGTTCTGCTTCATAGATGAGCCTCCCACATCAGCATCACCTCGTGTGACTGCTCCCCAGATTGCACGGATAATGTTCTTTGTGAGACAGTACATGCCTGTTGCCAAAATAAGCTAAACGATTCGGTAAAAATACCTTGGAGTCAATTGCTTCATCTCAACTCAAGACTAGAAAAAGAGAAGAAAATTACTTCTATGCTATCTTATCTAGACTGCTAACGTTCTAATATTTGCCCGCCAAGTACAATGGGTAATCATATTATCATGTACAAATTTTGGTAGAGTGTCAGGTGTATTATATGTAAACATGTCGTCTCCAATTCGATTTGGTTTTGATATTTCCAAACCAAATCTACTCAAGAATAAATCTAACATAAGCTAAACCAAGTGTAAGACATATCAATGTATCCTACCTCTTGTGTCATAAAGAATATTAAATTCTACAATATCATGGAGAGCTAGTATTGTCACTCCGATTGTAAACTGATCATTTATGTTTAATGACGTTTGATATATAAGTAAAAAATATCAAACTTATGAAACTAAAGTCAAAGATTCATATGGATAGAAATTTGCTTGATGGGACCCCTACGGAAAGAAATTTGCTTGATGTGACCCTTCAGGTTTCATTTTACCCGATGGGACCCCATGAACGATGCACCGTCACCCATGTTCTAATAACAACTAGAGAGAGTGCAACGAGTTCACCCGCAGACAGAGTGGACTTCGCACTCCATCACACTCACTTGTTTTTATGTTGTCATTCTGTATCCGGCCACTCTTTAAGGAGAGGAGCAAAGAAATGTTCATCCGGAGTTTATTTGTTCGTCACATATGATCATGAGACTTGAGCAGGGTTACGGCAGGAGTGTGCAGGTGGGAGGCAACAGAGAAATCCGCGAATCTTTGCGGCGGGAAGAATTGAAGCACAACAAATTGCACTTTGAGCAAAATCGATCTTTGTCCCCGTGATAATCCACCAGAAATTATAATCAGGGATTGATCTCTGATTGTAATTCCCGCATTGTAACTAGTAGTAATCGTAGTTACAAGAACTATGTCCGACGTCACACCGTCGTTGGGGTCCCATCGGGTAAAACTAAACCTGAGGGATCCCATCAAGCAAATCACTTTCCCCAGGGGTCCCATCAAGCAAATCTCTCTTCATATGAAGGAAAAAAATCAATAAATAAATTACTTTATTAAAAAATAATTTTTGAAAGACATGATCAAGCCATCAATCATGTATTTTCTTGTAGTCATGTTAATGAAAGTAGCCAAGTCATAATTGTCTTAGAATGAGACGATTTGGTATCACATTTTCTAAACGAGGGTGTAGAGTATGTTCAATTTGTTGATCAATTCTACTTAAACTATGAATATTCTCCATAAAATGAATTAACTCATACTGCGATCAAACATCTTATCTCATCATACAAATACAAACAACAACAATCAGCTTCAATCATTTGAACATGTTACATATGAATATTTGTTATAAATGTAATTATTTTCAAATTGATGTTTATGCACTTCAAAGTAATCAATATATATATATACATCCAAGCTTTTAAAAAACATCAATCTACTGCATCAAGAATTATATCGATGTCATTTAAATTTTTACAAATTTCATGTCATTTAAAAAAAATGATGTTATGATGTGATCAAAGATTGAGAATGATTTTTAACAAAAAAAAATGTTCACAAGATTTGAATGAGATTGAAGTATTAAACATGTAGACTATGTATTTTACTCAGAAAAAAAGAAGAAATAAAAATTTAAAACAAAATTTTAAAAAATAAATCATTGACAAGAAGTATTTATTTGGATTTTATTTTTATAAGAGTTGATTCATTAATTCCTTCATTCATTACATTATCATTGCATTTTCATTATTTATTGTTTTATCAAGTAAAATTTCTTTACAATATCATACATACTAACATGTATATATTATAAATTTTACCAATTTAGATTTTCAATTTTACAGTTTTATTGATAGATGTAATAATTTTGCAAACCAAAGGTTAAGGGTTCGAATCCCTTTTCTCCTGATTTAACAACGAATGTGAAAACCCGAGGCGCTAAGCGCTTGTTTATCCCATCCTTAATCCCGGAAAGGAAGCGTCGTTGCAGAGGGGTGTATAAAACATATATCTTGCATATGTAAAATTTTATCCATGTATTTAAACATTTAAAAAATTAGATTACTGTAAAATATAAATAATAAGATGGAAAAAATTTGTACATAATTTGTTGACATGTCATTGACTCTATATGTTAGCATGCTCTGAAAAATCAAGTTTTTTATCTGCACGCGTCACATTTGTTATCTTCTTATTAATTTTTCTGTTTTAGAATATAAAATGAAATGTGAATAATAAAATATGCGATCTAAATGATTTTAAATATTTAATAATCACGTAAAAAATGACTTAAAAAATGCAAGTTTTATTGATGTTAAATTTTAACGTAAGACAATATGTTAATAATTGTTGAAAAAATTTTACTTAAATATGCACTTTTGTGTACATTAAAGAATTTATTGATATATAAAATTCATACATAATAAATTTGATATTGAAATCAAGGAGTTCATGAATATAAAACGATAAAATATATTACTAATATTATGATTTTCTATCCATAGTGCAACATCATTTGATATTTAAATGATTTTTCACTCTATAAATACAATAAATTGATTTCTAAGAAAATTGATTTGCGTCACACATTTAATGTTTGGATAGTGTTTACAAATCAATACATACATCATTGGATGAATTTGGAAGTAAATTTCATGCTTCGTTACCCTTCATATTATCTCAACAAGATCTTTTTTTGATTCATTCCATGTATGATAGTTATATATCCATGCAAAATAAAATTTAAGTTGAGCTTTAAGGCATGCATATAATATTTAAGTCTTTTGAATTTTATGATTATATTAAAGTAAAAATCGAATAAAATTGAATAAAAATCTCTTTCTATGTAAGATATGAATTACTCTTTTTCATGTCTTTTCCAGTTTTGACTTATTGTCAAAGGTCTTAAACCTAGTTAAACTTTGAAAAAATCTGCTCATATATATTAAGTTTTTTAAGACACATATTATTTTTGTTCATTACTTAAAAAAACCTAATCAAGGGTAAACGTGCATTTTAATCTTCTTCTCTTTCAATGTAAGAGCTCAAACGTAATACTCAATAGTTCTATCTGGTTCTTTTGTTGTCCATCCATGTGCATGTGCGCAAACAAATTATTTACATGGCTTGTTTCGGTTTCTAGGATCTACTACCACATTCAGTTCCCATATGAATGATGAAAACAGTAGCTTCATGATGCTAAGCCAAAACCTTATCCATAAAATTGCCACAGACCTGCCGGCATTTATATGGATGATTTATCGGCAAGGGTGTTAGGGTCTGTAGGAACGATGATTTAATATGTTATGGACCTAATATGAATAGTTGTGCTCCATCTATCTTAAAAAACAAGATCAATCCATATCCATATGTTATCCTTCGCGGCTCATATAACATTTTCAAGTGTTCTCCCGACTTGTACTTTGTGTAGGTAGGGTTTATAATAAAATTATTTTTATTCAATTGCTAGCTTCGTTGTGTTGACATTTGAAGCAACTCACGTTTTGATCTGTATACACTAAGGACATAAGTTAATCCTTCTTCTTGCATGACCAGCAATAGTTGAATCATGTGATATGCTAACATGGTCGTTGTGTCTGAAACACAACTTTGTCAAGAGGTGGTTATCTTGTTTCACAACCGATTTCTCAGTCTGGTATAGAAGTATATAATAAGGATCCTAAGGTATTTTCTTCTTATTGCATGACCAACAATAGACGATTAATGTCAATTTGCTAACATTTGTTGTTCTTAAGAATAACCTCTTGCCCATGAGTGACACAACAAAAGGCATGAGGAGTAAACCAACCGACAAATGACTGCGAGGAAAAACCCTGCCATTCCTCGTTCCGACGGTGAAAGGTAGAACAGTAGCCATGATGGACAGATTATGTGGAACTAGCAAAGCAGGAGGGATGGTGGCGACAACACTCGTTTTCGACAACCGGCACAAACACCGCATTATCTCTGACTAACATCAATCGAATCCATTCTTTCGCAGCATGACAACCGGTCCGATTCCCACAAACCCTGTGGTTAAACGTCATTTGGCAGCCCACAGCAGCAATGGTCAATGATCCAGTAATAGAGAAGGCCGAAATGTATGTCGTACCGGTGTGCCAACTCAGCAGAACCTACTGGTGATTTTATTTTGTCAAATTTATAGAAAAAACATTGCACATTAAAAGTGAAGGCAGTTCAAATATAGTAAGATGGATCAGTGGTTGCGAACTCCTGTCGTTTCACATATTGGACTAAGATCCAGGTCAGTAGGAATACTTAAATTGTGAGATTTCATGAATCAGCTCAGGGTGTGCAGGTCGCAACATGTGTTTCCAGACACCTACTACTCAGATCAACGTGTGAAGGGCGATTGGCTTCATAACATCCGGCTGCATTTGAAAGCAACAGAAAGACGAGTCAATGTAGGCTCACTTCATGCAACCAGCTGGCCTCGTCGCAAGACTTCCATCCATCAGAGTCGCACAACTCACAAAGACGTCCACTTGACTGGCTGTAAAGGATCATGTCGTAAGAACGTAGCCAACGGAGGCTAGTGACAAAATACGCATTAATTTGTAGATAGGGTGGACAACTTGCAGCGCCCTCGTCAACATGGCCATGGCAAAATCCGATTGTGCAAGATTATTTCGCAACCCCTGTTCAAAGATTTTATTCAGCTGACTAAATAAAACTACCCCTCCCATTCCCTCCTCGCCCCTCGGGCGTCTGACCAGTCCACACCCACAACCGAACCGAACGGAACCGACCGAAGAAGGCAACGTCCAGTACTTCGAAATATGGCAGATCAGATTGTGAATACTCATGCGCTCTGAGAGTTGATTAGGTGTAGAGGATGGTCTATCCTTCATCTTCTTCGTCGATTGCGCATAGCGGAGCAACCACCGGCTAGACAAGTAATGCGAGGCGATGCACCCCAAAACAAACATTGCCAACTAGGCTTCGCCCTTGGTTTCCGTGTTTCTTCTTTGTGCAGCTTGACGGTCTTCCCCTTGTTTTCTGCTATCCTCGTGGCCTCTCTTAATAATAACTGTCGGGTATTCGGCTCGGAGTTGAAGTTCAAGTCCGGGGTTCAGTGCATTCACAATTGATGTCTCTACATTGTTCTACGGTAGATTTTCAGGAAACACATTTTGAGTGCACAATATAACCTTGAGAGCGTGAACCAAATAGATTTAAGTTTGATACTTGTATCTAATATGGCCGCCTCGTTTGTTCAGACGATTTTGAGGCATTTTATGAGAATACTTAAAAAAGAAAGAAAAAAAACGTATTCGAAGACCTTCACTGTTTCGCAAGGATGGATGCAATTTATCCAAGGGCAGGTTTGATCCCACGATTCAGTTCTGATTACAGGAAAATGTATGTGATGTTTTCTATGAAACTTCAACAGTCATATATCTCACTCGTATCAAATAACGTAAAGTTGAAAATATTTAGGGTAGTCTGACAAGCATGCATGAGTGCCCTATTAATTGATAAAATAATTTGGACAAATTCAATATATAGATTCAATCGAATGAATCTATAAAAAAATACTATTATTGTTTTCGTGATAGTATTTCAAAATAAATATGAGCAATTTACTGTTCGATGCTCTGAAAAATGCAGATCAGAATTGTTCAAACATAATACCAAATATTGAAGAACTAAAAAGAAACTTGGTCATGTTAACAGTTTCCATTTTGGTGGCTGTATACTGTATTTCTAATTTAGAGTATTTTACAACCAAAAAATATCAATGACTGAGTGATAAAAGTTGAAAGTCATGTGAATCGTTAGGTAATTAACTACATTAATTTTTTTCAAGAAAGTGAATATATGATTCATACCTGTTTTATGACCTAAAGCATGAGAAACAGCTCATGAAGATGGACAAGAACAGCAGATGTAAAATATGACATCCGAAAATCTTCTATGGAAACATAAGGACAAAAGTACAAAGCCACTTCACAGTTTACCGACATTAAGATGGGGTTCATCATTGTCTTGGCTACCCATACATAATCTTTGACTTACTTGTTTACATTGCCCGCAGAATCTCCCAAAACACTTATAAGTGAAAGGTTCATAATTCTGAATCTTCACTATTTTGGTCAAACAAGTTGATCCCAAATACTCTACATGGGTTGTGCATCAATCAATTCGTATACTGTTGCAACTCCAAGACTGCAAGTCAATGAGAGACCAGTCTGAACTTTTATCCACAGATTGATAAGTGCACACTTGCATCAGTTCATAGTTCAGTATCATATGTACAGTATTTGTGTGCAGTTCTAGACGATGGAAAAGCATGTCTAATAAAACATTCATGAGTTGCGTTTACATTTATGATGAGCTCTTTTGGTTCATAACTAAGTCGATTCGGATTATATAACAGAAAAGCTGCAACTAATATACGTGACACGAGCGTTCGAACCTAAACTTGTATCTTCGTCAGCTTAGAGGCAAAATGGCCTCGTTCTGAAGGATTAGTGCAAATTTGCACCTTTTGAGTCTTATCAACCACAGTACTACTCGGCTCAGCACTTATCCAGGGTTTGCAGTTGTGCAGATTGCGTTTAGCCAGGTGAGACCGTCCCCCCTACTTACCTGTGCATGTGGGTGGAAGCAAGCCGGTAAGACAAGAATGGTGTAGGTGAGGAGGACTCTCCGACCTATAACGCTCCCTATGTAGTACCCACGCCCTCCATGGCATGCATTGTGGCATCATGAGGTGGATAATTACTCACCCGCATACTTAGGTGCTCGTTAAGATCTGGGATTTTACAAAAGCTTGAGGTCCCCGTCTCCATTGAATAGTCGCCTCGCCTCCTTCCATGCATGACAAGCACATTGATGGCATAAAGTAATGTTTTGTTGCTCCCTGATCGCTCGCATTTCTAACGATGATTTTGGCCTCTATCCGTCACCAACATCAACTACTCACCAACCGAATATATTATGGTCCCCCATGATCTCGCAACTGGGAACTCCAATGTGGCCTTGAACACTGCAGCGAAGCGTGGCCAGGAGCTTTCAGCCAATGTTGTGGACAAAGCGGAGGGGAAGAAATCGGCGACCCAGATTTTGCTCCAGGGCCTCGACACGTGGGGGCGTATGAGTGGCCGGCCGTCTCGTCCGTCCAGGCTGGATGGAGACTGCGAAGGGATACTTCGTCGCCGTCTTCTTTTCCTTGGTCTGCTTCTTCTATTCCTTCCTTAACGGCCGGCCTCGGCCCGTCCGTTAGGACTCCGGCTCCCTATCTGGCCTTCGGCCAGAATGTGCGTCCGACGGTCCGTCATCGAATATCAGATGGATCGGATCCGCTGGCCAATGGGCGCAGAGAAGAGACCGAAACAACGGTCGATCGAATATGATAGGCGCCGACGTCGTCGGCGCCGTGCGGCATTGGCTACAGTGGAGGAGAAGCTTGAGTCGCGCTGGACGACCAGGACCTTTATTGCGACCCGACCCGACCCGACCCGACCCGACACGACCGGACCCGACCCTGCATCTGATGGATAAGCCAGAACCAACGGAGAGAAGACCCCGAAACAACGGCCCCGTCCCGTGAACAGATGGTGGGCACCGTCGTCGCATTCTGGAAGACTAATAATGTCCGCCATCGGGCCCCGGAACGACGACCTTTATTGCGACTGGACCCGATCTCCACCCCGCAGGACGATCCCAAAGTAAGACGCCGCGCCGTAAGCGACACGCGTCCGGCCCGGCCCGGCCCACAACGGCGGGCCGCCGGGGCGATGCGAGACGTCTCACCGGCACTCGCCGCCGCTCTCTGGCGAGGCAGTCGCCCTCTGGATTTGGAGAGGCCGGTGGATCCAGCACCAGAACGAGCGCTGCTGCTGTTGTGCAGCGTGGGCGTGCCCCTCTTATGAGCCTCGGATCTCCGAAAAGCAAAAGCCGGTGATGGATTCGATTGTCCCAGGGAGTTAGTTAGGCAGACAGACAGGCAAGCCAGGCAGCGCCAGGAAGAGCAGGCAAAGCGAAGCCGCGGAAAGGAACGGGTCGGGTCACGGGTGGGTCATCGGGGTCAGGTAGGGCCGGGGGCGGGCGCGCAGAGAGGCAAAGAGATCTCGCGAGCGATCTGCCTGCGCGGGTGGATGCAGGCAGCGCTAGAGGAAGGCTGGGGCGAAGGCTCCTCCACATCCTGGATGGATGTGGCTGCACTCGACCGCGACGCCCGGAATAGACGAAGTCGTCTCTGCGACGCTAACGCTCACGCTCGACGTGGGTTCCGGCTCCGCTATTCTGGCCGAGGGCGAGAGAGAGGCGCTGCGCGTTCGGGGCAGCAGCCAGTTTGGCGGAGACTGGGTGGCGTCGGGGCCCGAAGGCGCGAGTTGCGCGCTCCGCGACTGGGGAGGGAGGCGAGGCGAGGCGCGAGCCGTCCCCGGTGCGCGGAACGCACGTTTGTCTGGGATCTGCTCGCCGGTCGCCGGTCGCCACATAGCGAGCCACCGGCGAGCGCAGTAGCGACGCTCGTTGTCGTTGTCGTCGGTTGATGATGTGTGCGTCCCGCGAGTCGGATGCTTGGGATGCGGAGGAGGATTACGGTTCTCCAGTCGCTTCTCTGCCACCTCTTCTCCATCTGCTGCCACTCGGGGCCCCGTCATCCACTCCCCCCGCGCGGACCACCACCGAAACTCGGCCCCGTTCTCGTTCCAGCGTCGCCAAAGCGCGTCGAGCTCGCTGACCCGGGCGGGGGCTGGCTCCGGCTGCGGTTCTCGGTCGTGCGTCTCCGTAGTGTCTCTGCCCTCGCGGCCGTACCCGGCCTGGCCGGGGCCTTCGAAGTAGTTGTAGTGAATCGATAGCGATTTTTTTTTTAGTCTCCGTCTCCGGTAGTAGGCCACCAGTTCGGACTAGAGTAGCGACCTTTTCCGCACCGATTGTTTCTCCTCGTCGAGTCGGGCTTGAATCAGGTCGGCAGGTGGCGTGGTGAGCCCGGTGCGATATGCCACTGGTCCTGGCCGCAGGCCGTGTCATGTTTCTCCTCTGACCTTGCGAGGCCTGTGATAGGTTCTGGCTGAGCTTGATCGCCCTGAACTCACATTGTGGTCTATTGTGGTGAACAATGTCGAGGAGGTATGTTCGGATGTGTGATTCTTCCGTCAGATCCGCCGCGGTCACCTTGCTTCGTAGTCATGAATTTCCGCTCTGTTCATGGAGCTGTTGACAGAATCATGAGTTTTCCCATACTTTTGACGAACGCTAGAGCTTGTCACTTCACGGTATGCTCGGGGTATGAAGCGGACAGTATTTCCAAGGTGCAACACCTTGCCAAAACCTCTGGGCGCCATTACATTATACTTTATTCGTTACAACCCCGGGACCTTCGCTCCCTTTGACTCCTCAATTTCCGTTGCGGAGTCTTGATCTCTTCTCAGCATCTGTGGACGTCGTCTCGGTTAGCCTTGAGCTCGCGAACGGAAAGCTACCTGGGCATTATCATCGAGATGGTCCTCCAACCTTCCATGGGTGGTTTTTCTCGCCAGCTGCAGGTTCTTCCAGAGTAGGAGAATCGACCGACGCGGCTGCAGTGTGGTCGGGAGGAAGCAACATGGAGAAACTCGGAAGATCAGTTGGAGAATTGGAGGGAGTCTAGCGAAGTAGAGCATCTTTCGTTGGACTGAGAACAGGAGCAGCGCGGGGCTTGATTGCCAGGTAGCAAGTTCAGTAAGTCCGGAAGGCATGGAGCGAAGCGGACGGTTGAATGCGACGGGCCCTGGAATCGAATTCTTTCTCAACCGAATTTCTCCATTCATGTCCGATGGCAGGACCCTTGCTTAGCACCCATAGAAATGGATGAGAACTCCGACTAGTTTCGCACTGTTCTTCGAAAGACGGGACGCGAGAGGACCACTAGGAAGACAAGTCGAAGATAGGGCCGGAGATGCACGCCACCGAGGTGGGATTATCTCCTCGCAGGGAGGAGGATACAGGGAAGTCCTTGAGGGAAAACGATTTGATAAGCATGTTTAACGATAACGATCCGCAGTCTGTAGACATGAGAGCCCAACTTTTGCAATATGCATTGGCGAATCAGGAACTTGTGGCTAAACTTGCCGCGAGCGACTCTGAGAGAGAAGCTTTGAAGGCTGCCAACGTCGAGCTGACAAGACAGGTTGCTGAGATGCGAAGCAGACTCGCATTAGGTGGTGGCTGTGTAAGAGACAGCTCCGAGCAAGCAGACGAAGGCACCTTCTTCGCCACAGCCTGCGAGCAAGTTGAGCGTCAGGACGATGCACAAGTTCCAGGTTATTTAGATGTGGAGACGGCCAATTTTTTGCTCAATGCTCTGCAGGACTCTCCGGTCTATGTGAGCTACAGTGACCGCGACTTGCGCTACGTATGGTGTAATCGGACAATGAAAGGCTTTTCAATTAAGGTGATCTTTCCTCTTCTATCCGGTTTTCTGAACATTCGTCAAACAAAAAATATGAGAGAAGCGGTAATCGTTGGGATTTTGTTACTTGCATTACACATCGGACAACTCCCGAGTAGAATGTGACTCCTTGAACTTTCTATTCTTACCTTTTTTCTTCCCCTCTAATTCTCAGTTGAAGCTCAATTATTTAATGACCGTAAGCGCCAAAGGTCGATGAAATGACACCCAGTGGGAAATTACTACTTCCTGTATGACGCTAGCAGTTTACTACTCGTCGTTCTTGGCTTCCTATTGTTTCCGTGTATGGATTACCCATGTCATTAATCTGCAGCTAGTGAACTTTCAGTAGTCTAGGGTCTTTCTCACTTTCTTTTCAAGTTTTAAATGACGGTCTCTTGAAGTCAAAATCTTTACGAGGAACTGAGAACTAACGAATGAACAAGAGCTATCACATGAGTATATAGTATGATATGGCATAGTGCTAGGCAATATCCTAGGCTAGGCAATATCCTGGTACTGCGCACTGTACCACTCTAATGATGAAGCTTTGCATTCGGAGGTTTATCTTTATATCCCATTGGTGAATTAGTGCAGGTTTAATCATATAATGGATTTCAATGTTTTGAGAAACTTGCGCTCTCTTCAGTGGTCTTGACGGATTGGGTTTGTGGATCATCGTGTCGCTGCTTTGTCTTTTCAAGTGAGATTTTGAAAATCAGGACTGCACTGGTTGTTTCTAGATGTCGCGTTTTGTACTTTGTGTTTCAGCAGGTCGTTGCGATTTTTTCCAGTTTGAAGGTCCTAGCAAAACTGAAGCTTAAATTTCCTACTGGAAATTAGACCTAACAGTCTCTGTTTTAATTTCAGGATGTTATTGGGAAACGTGATGATGAACTTGGACCTCCCGGCACTGAAGGTTTGCTGGACGCGTTAGAGCTTAAGAGAAAAGCTCTTGTTACTCGAGAAACTCAAATAGCTCAAGTCAGAATGAATATGCCTGATATTGGACGCGTGTGTTTGATAACGACAAGTCGCCCTCATTTTGACTGTGATGGGAATCTTGTTGGTGTTTCTAACGCCGCGATTGATATCACAGAGCAGGCAAGTTCTTGAGATATGTTATTACCACTCAAACTTATTATCTGTTTCTCAACCTGCAAAGTCATATATGCTAATATTTGAGGACAGTACATTTTATCGATTAACACTTTTAGAGCTCCGTCTCTACACCGCGCTTACCTGCCTTGAACGTTGCGTGCTGTGCAGATGGAAGTGCAAGAACATCTATCAAGCCTGAAGAAGGAGGTTATGGCACATAAAGCAACTGAACAGGAGTTACGCCAAGCAGTTCATAACACAGGTGCATTTATGACCTGTCACATAATCCCCATCTCATAGGTGGTGACGCCTCTCGATAGTTCTGACTTGAAAGTGCGGATTTTTTGATCCGCACTTTCAAGTGCGGATCAAAATCAAAAGACAATTATCTCCAAAGCTTAGCTGGTGGAGAAAAATCTATGAGTTTCCGGTGACGGCTATTGAGATACTTGACGTTTCTATGTGTATGGATTTTGTTCCCGGAAAGTTTTTCACCTCTTTTAAAACTCTAATCTACTAACAGGAGTTGACTTTCTTTTACCCAGTTTTGCACTTTGAATGGGGAATATGTTAGTTTTCTAGGACGGTCTAGTGATTCGAATAGACTGACGGTCTTTCTTTCGAAGGCGTGGTGTGTAGAACTTTCTATTTTGGTGTCCCTTGCGCCGAGCAAGTTACCCGAGCATTCTTGTTGTAGGAAGATTTTTGGATTGACGACTAATACATGATCTTTCAATTTGACTGGAGCGACCGAGGTTCGAGCTTCGGGGCCTCGACAGCTATTAGGCTCCAACTACTGACTACTTATGGTTCTGGCATATTATCAATCCCTTGCTTCTTTCATTTCTGTTGTTTATCAAGCCTTTTGTTTTTATTTTATTAACCTGTCTCGTCTTCCTGATCTTCATATTTTCAATATGCCGAACTCGAAGTGCGTACATTGATTTGGAGTTCGTCCGCGAGATCTATTTTTGAACGCCTTTTACTCCTTACCTGCGTCAAGTGGTTACTACGAAACTCAAATTTCTTGTCTCTCAAGTGCTGGTTTCCATAGAAAACTGACCAGCTTGAGGATTGAAACCAGATGTTTTGAGAATCATGAGTCTCCTTGCTATTAGGTTCTCTTTCTGATACTTACCTTTCTGTTCTGTCACGTAATTGAATTATTCGCCTGTCGACCTACACACTATGAAGGAACGATTTAGATTCTGTGACAGTTGTTCCTTACCCTGAGAGAGGATCGATCAGTATTACAAAAAAATATTGTCTTCATGGCGTAACGACGCTTTAAGGATCACTATGAGTCACTTTTCTGTTCAAGGACACAATTGCATGTTACATGTTGTGTTAGGACAAAGTCAGTGAAATGTGTACGAATATTTAGGCCTTCGCACGTTTTTGACTATAAATCCGTAGTTAAATCAGTAAGACCGTCCATTACTTACTTCGTCATGAGCGTCACATACTAATACAAGTGTGCTGTACGCTTTTCAGAAGAAGCAATATGTGCAAAGAACATGTTCCTGGCTATTATGTCACACGAGATCCGAACTCCGCTGAATGGACTCCTTGGGCTCGCTGAAGCTTTAGATGCCACAGTTTTGAACGCAGAGCAACAGGAGTTGGTGAACGCCATGCTCTCTTCTGGAGTCATTATCGCAGACATATTGGGTGACATTTTAGATCTTGCGAGCATGGAAGCCGGTGAGTAAATGCGATGTTTCTCCTTATGTCGCATGAGGAAACACGCCATTCTTGGTCGGTCAAGGTCATACACTCACACAACACACTAACAAAAGCTGCGAGGACGTTGGCTTAATTTCTTGTGCCAGACAGTCGTGGTAATTCCTGTTTGTGCACTACGGTTTGTCGCAGAAGATACTGACTTGTTGGCTCGAAAATCAGGAGGATCGATGCATCTGGAAGAGCAGCCGTTTTCTCCTTCAGAAGCTGTTCAGGACATAATGAAAATGGCTGTCGCTGCCACTAGAGAAAAAGGAATTCAAGTGCTTTGTGACGTGGCAAGCGATGTACCGTCCAAGGTAAGGCATTTGAAGCTTTTTCCAGTTAAAACGAGATGCTTAGGAAGTTCATACTTTCATCATATTTGTTTTAAATGCGCCTCTCCCTTTGGGCGAGTGCCTTTTGGGTTAATAATCTCGGCCATGAGAGGAAGCTGTTGTTATGGCTGATAGTGGCTAGCTCCACAACTTTGAAGAACGTAAATGGAAGAATGTAACAGATTGTAAACTTGGTGAGTCTGAAGAAAGAAGTTTGGGCTGCACATGGCAACTAAATGCATATTCCTTGTGATATATTCAAGCTGTCTTTATATCTATGTCAATTTTTTGGATTATACTGAAACCTACCTTGCTGCTTATGTTGTTTCGACTCGTTTCAGCTCATAGGCGACCCGCTTCGGGTTCGGCAGGTGATGAAGTACCTCATTTTAAATGCTATCAAGTTCACTCATGTTGGTACTGTAACGATTAGAGTTGGAGTTAGGAGTGTATCTACTCCTTCACTTGAAACTTCATCTATCAAACAGGAAGAGAGACAAGGCATGAGAAGCACAGATTTTATAACCAAACGCAAAGCAATGTCTGATGTCGATGATAGAGGTGATTCTCAATTAGATTCCGGCGAACCGTCTGCAAGCTCGATGTATAGAAGGACCCCTGATAAAGATGATTCCCCAAGTAGTTCACGCTCATTCAGCACAGAGCAGAAAAGGACGCATTTCACGGGTTCCAATAGTGAAGATTCAGTGGAGAGGCTAAGTAAAGTAGGAAATTCGAAGTTTGAGAATGGATCTATACTTGTACGGCACGACTCTATTCCAGGTGCAGAACCAAGACATCTACCCAGTGGATGGAACGAAGCGACCCCGATGGTGGGAGTTGAGGAAGCTGCGGTTCCACATCAACACACGTCAGAATCTATGAAAAGCCAGATAAATGCAAACGCTGAAGAGGTTTATTTGTGGTGTGAAATTGTCGATACAGGGGTTGGCATCCCTGAAGAGGTATGCCATATTCGCTCTTTGATGTGCCATGAGTTTCGTAGATCTCATCATCTCGTTTACAGCGTAATCGCTTACAGTTTCACATGGCATCGTTTAATCTCACCTCATGGCTGTTTTCTGACCTTTATGGCTGTTGTTCTTCGTAGGCTTTTCCAACATTATTTGACAAATTCACTCAAGTAAACACCGGCCCAACCAGGATATATGGAGGTACCGGACTTGGATTAGCAATTTGTAAGCAGGTATTATGTTCTTCCAGCTTATGAATATTGCCTAAGCCTATTTTGATGGGTGATTTAAACTGTGGTTGTGTCATGATTCTAAATTAGCTTCTGTATCCTGCATGTACTGTGTCGAAGATAGGTGAATTTCTTCATTGAAGGACACAATATCGCTACCTACTATCTTATTACTGAAAAGTTCTCCTTTGTTTCTTTCAGCTGGTTGAGCTGATGGGAGGTGAGCTGACTGTCAAAAGTGAAGTCGGAAAGGGTTCGACTTTCACTTTCAATGTGCTGTGTAAAGTTTCTCAACCGAAGGAAGAGAGACCTTGCGATACGGTATGTCAACCACCTTCCAGTGTCAAGGGTCAGACCAAAGATGTGTCCGAAAGTGAGGAGCAATTGGCCTTCACTCCTTTGCAAACATCTTCATTGACAACCAATGTGGATTCGGCGGATGCGAGTTCCAAGCAAGAAGGAAAGATACAACCCAGGATTTTGCTGGCTGAAGATAATAAGGTAAATGTTATGGTGGCCATCTCAATGTTGAAAAGGCTTGGGTTTACAGCTCAAGTAGTAGCTAACGGGGTTGAAGCATTAGAAGCTATACGTAAAGATCATTATGACCTCGTCCTCCTCGACATCTGTATGCCTCTGATGGATGGTTTACAAGTGGCGTATGCCATAAGGCGATACGAGGAAACAGGAGAATGGCCTGAAGATGACCTTAGAGACATCTTTGCTAGTGCGTCGAAGTCCATGTTGCAAGTGGAGAGCGACAAGGAGAATCGTGAAGCTCAGACGCATTCAGAAACCAGCAAGGACAAACGAGAACGGATGAAGAACGCTTTAGAAGGTTTGAGGAAAAGTGGTTTAAGCGGGCGCAGATTACCCATAGTGGCCGTCACTGCCAATGCTTTGAGGTCCGATGTCGATAAGTACTTCGCGCACGGAATGGATGCTTTCATTGCAAAGCCTGTTATGTTTCAAAAGCTGCGGGAAACTCTGGCGAAATACCTGCCTCTGCAGACGCAACAGCAGGCTGATGTCCCTGAAGGCAGCACTAGTACGAGTGCTAAAGCCAGTGAGGAAAGTTGATTTACATCATTGTTCAGTCAACGGAGTACTTAGAGAAATGTCTTCCCATTCGGGGTAAATGTCAATATGTGCCTGGATTAGTGACACTTTACCAGTTTGTATAGACACTTTGTTCTTTCCGACAGTAGGTACATTTCGTCCTGGTGCATAGATCGATTTCTTGGGGCTTGGCCATGGGCATATGTGAAGCACCCCTGAGTTTCAAGCCGTGAAATCACGTATTCGGGGGTTATGCATAGTGCGCTCCAATCTACAGTAGAAACACTCTTGTACCATATTAGATCAGTTTAATTCTTGATACAGTAGCACAGTTTTTTCCGGCAATTCGGTTTGAACTAAATTCACTGAAACGTGAGTATGCAGTGATCTTCCACTTGAAGCAACTGCTTTAAGTGGAAGATCTGTCTCCTGTCTGGGCGTGTCTGGGCACAGTAGAACTGTCCCTTGCCTGAAATAAGAGCATACGTCATCACTCAAGGTAGTTCTTTATAAAACGACAACGTCACTCGGGCACACAACTTCCCCCTTTCCAGTATTCTCATGTATAAGTTGCGTCTAATCGTGGCCGAGACTTACATTCGAAATGACGTTACTTTTCGAATAGGTTGTCTACTCAAGGGGTTTGCTTCAAACACCCATCTGACCCTGAGTACCACTACATACCCGCACATTGAATTAACTGTGGAGAAGGCTTACGGGTTGCATAATTGTGCACTGAGATGGCTGAGAATGAAAGTCTATTGATTTAAGTGTAACCTAAAATTCACAAGATTGTATATAGATCGCGAAACACGACTGCGTATTGTCCGCATATGTATGGGCACAGAGAAATGCTGTAGATTGCGAATGTAACTGTACCCTACAAATCACATGAATGTGTTATGGGATTATTGAACTCAAAGTATGTTTTGGTAAGAATATTATTACATATTGTAGAATGCACGTCAAACCCGCAAAGGCATTAGAACTTGAAGTTCGCCAGTTTACTGGAGTGCATATAAGCTGCAGGTAATATGATAAGATGACTTACAATGGACAATTTCAATAATAAACGATGAACATAACAATACCCACTCCTAAACCTAATAATCACCTTTCTCTTCATTAACATTCTCTTCCAAAAGATTGTTAAGTATAAGAAAATAAATGAACTTGGAGAGTCTTCTTTACTTCTTATTACTCTTTTCGCATTCTTAGTTTATTTTAATTTTGTTACTTCTCATACTATTGCATTTGCAAGTAGTATTCATGAAATGAGTTTTATAAACATCTTCTTATGTATTTACTGTATCTCATATATTATCATCATGGATCTTACAAGCTATTCATAATCCATATTCAGTCATTTCTATAAAATATATTTATGATTGATATTTGAATTTTGAGTACAATATTTTATTTTTATACTATGCTTTAGACTACATTGAAATCAAAATATATTGATTCAATACTTGTCTATGCAACATCAAACTATTTAACTATATTTTAATTCCAATAGAAATTTTTAAATATATTTTCTTGTTATATATATATATATATATATATATATACAAGCGTTAGAGCAGCAGTTTGAAAAACCGTGCACAAATGGAATATTGCTGATGGCTGTTCTCTGAAAACGTCTAAAATGCTCCGATAGACCGCTTTGACTGCTTGATAACACTATTAAGACCAGAAAGTTGTCTTACCTTAGATATAAATCATATCTATTATATCATATAATAGACTCCTTGAATGTTAATAGTACTCTGAATGGTGTAAACTCTAGTTTTAGCACTGTGAATGACCTTCTAGTGTGCTGCTAATGACCTCTAATGTAAGAGGGTGTAAAACCCTTGTAATAGGTCCTTCCCCAACCCTGTCACTCCCTCATCCGCGTTTTTTTAAAAAGGAATCAACTCGAAATTTCAAGTAATTGCTCACTGGCAGCTGGCAAGTCCTTCACATTTACTCAATTGCAATTTCTTGAATAACTTCTACTTCTATCCCCAAAACTCAAAGTTTTGTGATACCAAAACAAGGCTATTTTTGTACTCTTTGAAATAAACTCCAACCCACTCTTTTATTTTGAGCATTTGCACAATTATAAAAGAAGGTGAAAATTGGCTGTCACAATCATCTCAAATTCACAAAAATTTCATTTGTAATTTGCGAAAATTTCATTTTCACTCAACAATTATTTTGGTGCTAAATTATCATTTCAATGTGTGAGAAAAATAATGTTTTTTGAATCTTGACATATAATAATAATTTTTATTATTAAATAAGAAAATATATAAGTGACATGTATTTGGACTTATCTAACACTAGACATTTAATATCTTATTTCAATAGGAATGACATTACAATATTTTATTTTATTTTATTTTAATCTTTTTTTTGAAATTTTTGGGTTTCAAAAACTAATATACATAGTTTATATAAATATCTTAAAACATAAGAATATATTTGTAAAAAATTCAATATATAATTTGCTTTACTATGTATATATAAGTGATGAATTTTTATTTTATTTCACATATATAAAAATATGTGGCTCATTTTAAATCAAAACTAGTTAACATTTAACTAACTACTTTCCAACAATGACTGAAAATAAAAATTTAAGAATAGATTTTTTATCATCTCATCATATTTTATACACTTTAATAAAACGTTTTATTTTAAGTTTCAATTGGACAGATATGAAAGAAAGAATAGTTTGTTGATCTCATATGATATATCTTATAAATTTTTAATAGAAGTTGTGAACACTACAGTTTGTATGATGAATTTTTTCAAATGCATTTTTTAAAATAAACAGTAGTTGACGCAAATTATTTCAAAAAGTACTTCTTTGTACGCCTAAGTATACTAACTTTACTCCAGTGAATTTCATTTGGATTAGCAAACAATGTAAAAATTCATGAAGATGAATGCTCAGATTTGTTTTCATGAGCTATGATCATTCAAATGAAAAAACTATTGAAAATGTTCATACATATAACTTGAAAAAGATATCTATGTTTTTCATTTTGGAAAAAATGATTATAACATTTTTAAGATCAAATCATACATCTGTGAATAAAATAAGAAATTCTTAGTTTTAAAAACTAGATGAAGTTTAAGTCAAACTGGTAATAAATTTCAATAACTGGATTTACAATAAATTTAACAAGATTTATTTTATTTTTAATAATTTATTATAGATTTATTCAGTCTTCAAAGGATAAAAATGGTGAATTTTATGAGATTGAAATGAATAAATATGAATATGAATGGGAATTACAAATGTACAAAATTTTTTATGAAAGATATTAATTTGATGCATTGTATAGATAAAAAAGAAAAAATGAATAAATTTTTTTCCATCTTAAAAATATGTTTTGTATCTCATGCCAAAAAAAATTAAAGTGATAGACATTAAATTGTAAGTAAATATGAAACTCAATGTTTATCATTTAAAATTTACACAAATATAATAAATATAATAAAAGTTATATATATAATTTGGGTTAAACCCTAAACCCTATATATAATTTGATTAATCCATATATAATAATTAATAATTTTCATCATGAATTGATTTTTTTAAATTTTAAATTTGAATTGGTGCAAACAAATGTATAAAATATGAATTGTTTGACTAAAATTTTGAATAGTTTTGTGTATTTGATCATATGCACAAGATTTGATATTATTATAACAATATAGAAATTCATATTAATTCTAGAAACACTCGCATTTAAAATTACGTGAACAAAGTTATCAGATTACCAAATGAATTAGGTTATAGCTTCTAATAATTTTTTCAAAAAATAAATATTTCAGATATATTACATTGATGTTGATTCAAAACAAATTAAAGCTCACAATTATGTATGTGTAGACATTACTCAATGCTCAAGTTAGAAATTACCTTGTAAGTTCATTATAGACTTAGCTATAACATATAAATATGTATAATAAAATAAAATAAATTTTTGTTTATAATTTTTTTAAATCAGAAAGAATAATTAATAATAATAATCCAGCAAAAGATTTGTTTAGGTAAGTATGTATTTATTATAAATTAACTATTATGAATTTTTGTTTTAATAATAAAAATGCATAATAATTTATAGCCTACAAACTAATGCAAAGTAAAAATCATCATTATTTTTTAACTAGCTATTAGATTTTAAAGCAATGTAATATTTGATTAATTTGATCAAGTATAAACATTGAATTAATTGAATTAACTTCAGATTTGGATGAATGAAAAAATAATTTAGCTATTAATTATTTTTTAAGACATCAATATCTTACATTTATGAGAAATTAATAAAAAATCGTATGAAACATATCTAATTGAAAATTAATCAAGAGATCACAAAACAATATTGTTAAGCAATTTCATTACAAAATAAGAAATAAAATATATGTGACATTAATCTATTGTGTTGAGATAAATTCTGAAGATTAAATGACTCACATCAATAACTAACAAGAATCACCAATCTAGTAGATAATAAAACCAGAATTCACAAACACAAGAATCAACATGAGTATGTTGGTGATTCATACTCAATATGAACAACGTCCATGGGGAGAAAAATTTAATGCTAATTTTTTTTTGGAATGCAACAAAAATTCTATGCCATAAAGTTTACTAACTAGGGATTAATCCAAAATGCAAGTTAAACCCTAACAATCTTTCCAACTCATGATGAAGTAATAATAAACCTCGTAATTTGTAGAATGACTCAATAGTAATTTCTAGAAGGAAACATAACAAAAGATTTATTTTTATAACTATATTTAATTATAACTAAGTCGTAGCCAAAACATAAGAGAGTAATAATATAGAGAGATAATTGAAATGCTAGCAAATTTTATGTGTGCTACTCATAAAAAACCTCCAAAATAGCACAATTTTTTTTGAAACTTTTTTAAAGAATAACTTTGCTTAACACTTTAGCTCAATTGAGTTTAACATCAATTTTAACTAGCTCAATACTTTTATTAAGAACTGTATGTATGATAAAGTGATCTTACGTGTCGATGTGCTTCACTTCGGAGTTCATCATTTGATTTGCAGCAAGATGTAAATCTGATTATCACAATGACAATTGACAAAACATTTTTAAATCTCATTTGAGTGATAAGCATATTTAACCATATAGTTTTCTTTGACACTTCCGCTTTATATTTTGCTTCTGTTGAATATTGAGCCACTCACTTTTGCAAGCTTAGCCAACTAATGTTTCCACCACCAAATGTATATACATATCTAATTGTAGATTTCCTTTGGTTGATGACCTTGGGGCTGACTATCAATTAGTACTATCTCAAATGACTTTTTGGTAGTTTATCACGTTTTAGAAGCTAAGATCTTTTTTGGTTTTACCTCTCGATTCTGTCCTCGTATGTGTTCAATTGTATGCAGCATCCCTGTGGACTCCCCGATGTTCATTCTTGGTCAATTAGTTCGATTGAAAGGTGAAAGGATTGTAGTTGGAGTTGGGCATAGAGGGTCTTAAGGCCATGATTGCTGTCACAAGGGCCCAACTTGGGAAGAGAAGGCATCTTCCATTAGCTCCAACGTGACCATGTTCCAAACATCTTCACATCAAGTCGGGAGCAAACATCATTGTTCGGATGTGAGCTCTCCATGTGATAATGGCCAAAGGCCAGAAATGGCTTCACGATTTCTGTGCACAAACACCAGAGGCGGTTCAACCCTCTCATTATAGATTGAGTGGCCAAAGAGCCCTAGGGTTCGGGAAAACGCATTGAAGAGAATGTAGTTAACTCATTTACATACTCACGGATGGAGAGGAATTCGATCCCTCGGTATTCTCAATACTTCGGTTTCTTATAGTTTGAACATTGTTAGATTGAAAATAAGAAATTGAGACAAAAATAATAGATCGAGAACTATATATGAACACTTGTAGGAGAGATAGAGTACGAATCTCCATGGTCGATACTGAAAGTTCTTCATAGTTAAGAAATATTTGTTAAGTTTTCAAATCTATAATTAATTCAATTCCGAATTGGTCTAAATTGAATCTATTAGATGGACCATTGAACCTCTGTTTTGCGGTGCGCGCGAACGTATGTTGTTCACTGTATGCCTTTTGAGGATGCCTGTCGGGAGGTTCCGCCCACGTGTCTTTGAAGTCATGGGGGGCAGATCTCAAGAGGTCAACAAGGATGCGGTTGACCGTGTCGTTGCATGAAGGCAAGCGACAGTGTACCACTGTGCGAGTGCGCGGCCAGGTCAGACGCACACAAACTCACCACTCATTACTCAATTGCAAACACTCATGGATACTCAAAAGAATAGTGAAACTCGAATTCATATTAATGAAACAAATCTTCACACAATGAACTTTCAAAAATTGTTTCAAAGTCTACTCTCGATCTTTTTACTTATTTTATTTGAGAAATTACAATAGTTTTAGTAATAATTATCTTATAATTTACTTTTACAAAGATAAATTATTGTATATTAGATAAGTTTTCAATATGTTGCAACATGCTATTGCACTTCTAAATCTTATAGAAGTTTCCTAATACTTAGGTTGAGGTGCAGACATGTCATTTGATAATTTAAATCTTATATAAAATTCATTTGCCACTAAGTCAACTTTAGATTTAGTCAAACCAATGAAATTTTCATTACTTAGTCAAATCAATCAAACTAATCATAACTCAAAAGTATTTTACTTTAGAATCTAGATTTTTATAAAAAACAAAACATCCATATATTCTCCATATATCCATAAACAAAATCCATATATTCTAAAATTCACGTTATTATTTTTCCAAGTATAAATTATTTAACTAAACTTAATTATAACTAGCTAGATTTAGTTATACCTAACCTAACCTAACCTAACCTAACCTTGGTCAACATCTTGGCTAGTTACAATAATATTTCACACATAAAATAACCAATCCTACAAGTTCATAATCTATTTGAACTCAGTATCAACGTAACATAACAAAAATTTAACATTTTTTAATAAACCATCAAACAATAAACCATAATCTTTATATTTATTTGAATACCTAAAAATCCATTTCACTACTTCGCATTGAACATTTTTTGAATTTGATATGTACATGTTCAACTTGTTTATTGCTAGAGCAACATCATGTATTGGACATATAATCAAATACATGAGGTTATCTACAGTTTGATTATAAGAAACATATGACATTTTTTCTCTTGTTATGGCATCGATAGAACATTGAGTTGCAGATAATTTGAAATGTGATGCCAAAAGAGCACATATTACTTTAAAAGCTGCCATATTGAACATGTTAAGTATACATCAAATATATTTGCTTGATTTAATCATAAAATCGTCTTCTTCTAATTTGCATAATATATTTTTTGACTTCCTCAAATTCTACATCTTAAATGTAGAATTCAATTAGTTCCTGCATTTATCAACGTCGTCGTATCTGATCTTCAGCAAAATGAACATGTCATCCACGTAGAACACAAGAAGAAAAAGATTGAATTTGTCAAGATTCATCTCTTTTATGTTGATACAAGGATCATAGACACTCCGTGAACAATCTTGTGACTTCATGAACTTGTGAAAACATGTATTAGATTGCCTAAGAGCTTGCTTTAATCCATATAGTGATTTCAGCAATCTACAGGCCAACCTCTCATGACCTATCCTCTCAAAGCCAACAAGTTGTTTCATGTAGATCTTGTACTCTAAATATATATAGAAAAATGTTGTAACCACTTTCATCTAATCCATAACAAGATTAAATATTGTAGCTAGAGCACATTCTAGAAAAAATGTAGCATACTTTGCTACAGATGAAAGTTTTTTGTTGTAGTCCACACTTTTTTCCTGTGTGAAATCTCTAGCCACCAACTTGATTTTGAAGATTATTTTCTTGTCTTGAGCTGCACTGCACTTCAGCTTGTACATCCTGTTGCAATCAATCAATGTTTGATCTCTAAGAAGTTCAACTAGGTCATAAATTTTGTTGTCAATCAGTGATTGCAATTCAAGTTCCATAGCAACATTTCACTCAAGTTTATTGACCTCAGCTTGAACTTCCCTGTACAAAGAAAGTTTTACTTCTTTCAAGACCAATGCTGTGTCATCACCTCCTTTGTATCAATGTCACAATCTTTAATAATGGATGAATTTGCTCATGTATCATATTGACAAGAGATATGTTAGTTCAATATAGTAGATCTTATAGTAGAGGATTCTAGTAGATCTCTATGGTCTAGTGAAGATATGTGAGTCTCACCAACGATAACCTGCTCTTTTAGTTTTTGTTCTCAAAACTTGCTCCATCTATAACGGTGCTCTTCCTCATATCAGATCATTAATTACACAATGATCAAACTTCCCCTTAACAACATCAGCGAGTGAAGATTTTTCCTTGAAAGTGTGTGGAACCTGAAATTTCTTCCATCGTATAAAACGAAACTTGATGGAACCTAGTAAGAAATTTGTATTTTGACGGTTACCATGAAATAATTTCCTCGATTAAAGTGATTTACATTCAATGTAACTGTTTAGAATTTTTTTGTACAAAAAATGATAAACTATTTTTTCAATTTATATTGAATTATGTCTTATTTTTTATTTTCAATTTCTTATACCAGATAAATCGATACTGAGGGAAAGTTGAAGGTGATCAAGTTCATAGCAAACAAGTTGGTGAGAAAATTGACAAATGAATTTCTGAACAGATAGAACGTTATCAATGTGGGATAAACGTAAGTATTTTAGACTTGAGAAGTGAATGCGCCTCATGTCGGATCTACCCGGACATAGTATGGAATGCGGTGCTTTGGCAAAGTGTGCGGGCTAGTCCTCCCTCCGTCGACTTCGGCCACTGATCACCAAGGAATATGGCAAGGCCCTGTGCATACTTCGTTAGCCAGGAAAGATAAGCATTTGTGGGTGAAGAAAAACGTCAGAAGAACACTGAAGACATTAGACCATAATATTTAGACGCTGGAGCTTTCAATTTTTGGTGGTTTATCCAGCTCCAATATAGAAGTAGAAACAGCTTGACAGGTGAAAGAGTGACAGTACAAAGTTTATGATTTCTTCAAGATCTTGTCATTTTTTAACGCACGTCGCCTTCTAATATTTAAAATTGAGATGCAGAGGACATGAATTACTGAAGGTGTACAGCAGATAGCAAAAGGTCGAAGTTAAAACGTAAAACATGTGACTCGAGGGATTCCAAGTGCGAATAGTTTCTAACAATGTACGATGGTCCACAATAATAGCCCGAGTGAGGAAGAAAATCATGAGACATGGAGGGGTCAATATTCGGTCAATTAGAAAAAACCAGAGAGAGATTAAAAAAAAAACACTAAACTAAGAGACGAAGAAGAAGGATATTATAATAGACCCTACCCCGGCCTCGACTTGCAGCTAATTAGTGAAATCCGTTAGCCTAGGAAGTGGGGAAAAATGATGCGAAAATAGAGGGACAAATATTCCGAAGTTTGAATACTGTATGTTGCGTGTCGGCCCAGCTAATCAAACGGTAAATAATATCTGTCCGCCTCCGCAAGAGGAAGGAAATAAGCTTTCGCTGCTCGTCCTGATGCGGCCCGGTGGAGCATGCACGGCCCACCGCGACGGAGCTTGATCCAGCAGACAGACGCACAAACCTCAGGTCGCACGACGGCCAGGACCGGATCGAGGTTTGAGACTGCCCGTGTGTCGGTAGGTGATAATTGTGGAGTCGGATTTCGTGATTATGAGCAGTCAGACGAGAGCGGCAGAGAAGTTATTGCGCGGAGTTGAACTCTCGGAGAGCTTTGGGAGCAATCGAGTGCTGGCGAGCTGGCTGGCGCTGTTCTCACTGTCGCCTGTTTGGCCGATCGAATGGCCGACCTGGTTTTTTAGCCCTAAATCGTAATAATGGCCGAGGGACTCGAGCTGAACGTCGTCCAAATCTAGGGGCAGAAGTGTGGCGCGAGTGAGTTGGCTTCAAGTCATGGCTGCGGGCGATATTGTTGTTGTTGTTGTTGTGGCCGGCGCTGGAGATCGGGCTTGGGCCTTGGCCAGAGTGCCGCCACTTTTCCTGGGAGATGGTACAGGATCCATCCGCAGAAGGTACAGTTTGTATCAGATTCAGCTCGTCCTATCGTGTCGCAGCTCTCGCTCCCCGTCCCCCGTAGCAGCAGCAGCAGGAGGGTGTTCGTCTCGTTCATGCGACCGCGGACTCGGTAGGGATGGGAGCCGACTTTTCTTGTTACTACGATCGAGGATGGATCCGGGGAATGTTTCCGAGGCTCAGAGGACATGATTGCTGCCGCTGCTGCTAACTTACCCATGATGTCCGCGAGGACAAGTGCGGCAGCTGACTCTCGTTGAGGGCGATCGAGTTAGTAGCGGGGGTGGGGGTTTGCATCTGAATTTAGTGACTCGGGCTCGGAAGCTGTTAGGCCTTACAGCTCTCATGATGAGGAATGTAAGATAGCTGACCATTTCAAAGCACTGTAGTCTCGTCGCATTTAGGATGGAATGGAATGGTTGTGAGCATTGGCGAATCCCGCCCGGGCCTCGCGTGGCCGGCTGGTCGTTACCAGTACCGCAGGATCTATGGCGCCATTCGTTTCGCTCCGTCTGTTGCTTTCCTTGTTAGGAGTAGACGTTGACATGTCACCAGCGGGCGAATCTTGCGCTCGAGTTCGTTAATGCTCGTCTGTTCGAGTGAGGAGTTGCGGCTCTTTCTCTTTCTCTCTCTCACATGCATTGTGTCGCGAATTGCTGCTTGCCTGTCTGCCCGCCTGCCTCTGGGTGGCATTTCTTGGGCAGAGGACTTTTTGTTGTACTAACGCGAACTGAACCGCAGGATACTGTGCCCGCTCATCAGTTCTCGGTGCGACCTCGAGCCGGTTGGACCAAAGATCGACGACTCAGGTGTGTGAAATTCTCAACCAGCTCGGTTCCAGTGACATTCAAGCCGTCTTAGGTTGTGAAGCTCAACCCGGGCGAAGCGTAATTGAGCGTCGTTTGAGCAGGTGTACGCATGTCGTTTGTGTGGTTGCGCTTCCTGTGTGAGCTCAGCCGATTCTGGGATCGAATAAATGGATGAATGAGCTGAGCTGAACCGAGCTGAACTGAACCCAACCGAACAGAACTGTGTCATTGTAGTTGAAATTCGTTCGGGTGGTAGGCCAAACGAACTGCCATTCCACCTGCTCGCTATTATGTGGCATGGGTAACCGCAAACAGTGGCGGGCGAGCTCGCCTCAGCCTGCTTGTCGTGTGCGACTTCGCCTTGCTTTGCGAATTGGAGAGTTTTCGTTCCGAATTCTTATCTGAATTGGTTACGCGTCGGCTTTCTTACGACGACTGAATCGGATGCGAATGAACCCTCATTCGTCGCCGACAGGGAAGGGTTTTCAACCTCTGCGATTTTTAGTCAAACTGGTCATCCAGATATTTTTGAGATGCGGGACTGCGAGTACCACCCCTGACGAAACTGTTATCCAAGCTAAATCGGGCAAATTCGTTATGCCCAACATTTGAGCTGCAAAGTTTGACTGTCCCTAGGAGCTGTCGTTTGTTCGTGGACAGCATTGGCTGCATTATTCTCGGTCTCTGTAAATCCTGGTTATACGGCTCTGCTGCTGGCTTCGTGGATTGGGAAGAAGTCTTCCTCGAAGGGAGAGAAGTATGCCATGGGAGGTAGTCGTAGAGGTAGCTCGATCTTTATGATTAGCGGATGTCTAATTGGGTGCAGCGATTTGTAATTGTTCGCAGGAATGTGTGTTCTAGTCGAACTTGCGGGCCGTGTGAAGACGAAGTGGGGGTGGAAGAATGCCGAGAGTTTCAGGCTCCCTCTGCGGCCACTTACAAACGCCCATCTCGTAGTGGGAGGGCCCCACACCCCTGGAAAGCTGGTGACGTGAGAAATGTTGGGCCAATTGATTAACGGTCTATGGTCATTGTGGAGGGAGATGATAACTCACCATCAGAAGTAGAGCTTTGATCCGCAGAAAAGTGATCTGTACAGTCTCCGCACTTCCTATGGAATGAACACACCATGTACCAGACCGGTTCCCCAACTTTTCGACCCGAGGAGAGGAAGCCACAAGTCAAACACACCTAACGAGCACTAAAGGGTGGCCTGTCGAAATCACGGACTTCCAATTGGAGGAGGACGTTCTAATTGAGAACGGTAATTTTTGTTTTCGAGGAGGAATATTGCATTCTATTGTAGAGAGGAGGGGAGGGGAGGGGAGGGGAGAGGAGAGGAGAGGAGAGGTGACGTTAAATACCGCAATCCAGCACCTACTGGCTGACGGGATTCTACAGGAGCTCGAACTTATTGGTTCGGCTTGTTGATATATCTGACTGCAGCAGCGCTCACGCTCATGCTCACGCTCAGGCTCATGTTGCCAGCGAAAGTCATTTTTTCCAGTATACAGTGACACATCCTTGTATTGAACATGTTGCTCGGAGGAAGAGTTTTGAATATCTGACAATCTGGATGGGCTTACACATGCTTTCTTCTCAAGACAATGACCATACACTCGAAAGACGCCGACCCTGGGGCCGTTGGATGGCATTTCATGGCGACCGTAATTCCTGGGATTGTAGCACATTGATTGCAAATGCCCGATGTGGGCATATCTCCAATGATGAGACGGGACGCGGTCTCATCCAGCGGTCGCATGAGTGGCGTAGAGCGTATCTGACGGCTCCAGCATTGGCTATTCAATACATTGCGTTGTAGCTTAACGCATGGCGCGCCTGACATTCCTGGTGCTGGTGCGTGACATGTTTGTCCATGGTGTGTTTCGATTCGAGTTACTATGAATAACGTATAACGCCCCATGTCTGAAGCCCCTCCCCTCCCCTCCCCTCCCCGTCCAGAGCCGGGAATATTACAGTGCCCACGCTGCACTGGTAACCCCAAGGTTCATCCCAGACGGCGTCTACCTGATGGCTCCGCACTTCGAGAACGGAACTAGCGCAAGAGTACGATCACCGAATTCACATTTGGACATAACCCCGAGCCAAAGAAATGCGTCCAGCGGCTGCGAGAACGAGAAAGGTGGGGGAGAGCGCAGTAATGGACGATGTAGCTCGACGTTCCTGAAGGGGCGATAAAGATTAACTGCAATGTAACAGCAGCAGCCTACAACGCCCCCGCGGTATTCTGGGCCTGGCAATAACCTCCTGTTCAACATCGGGTAATGAATGCCCTCGCAGGTAGAACTAGCGACTTGTCCACCCAGCACTAATGGCTTGCCGAAAGTCCGGCTGAAAACTCGTGCTACCAAAGACACTTTATGGAGGCGGCCAGGCGGGACGTCTGGCCGCTCGCGCTCATACGGAGCGGCCTCTGCTTTTGCCGAACCGGAGACAAGAACTTTATCGAATTGCTCTTGCAAGCCAGATGGCTATGCATGTACCCATGTGGTTGCTTTCCAGACGGAGCTTCCCAAAATCGGCGCGGTGGAAGGAGGTATTTATTACGAATACCGAAGAACTGCACTGACGGCTGGAAAGGCGACTCGCCGGTGAGAAACATAAACCCTCTGCATATGTACTACGGACCACGAACAGATCTCCTTAATTGAGCACTGTTCTCTGCCCCTGCGAACGCAGTCCTGCGACAAATAGAAATTGCGCTTTGCAGCCCCTTTGCGCCAGCTCCTCTTCATTCCCTCCCTCCCCATCTCGCGTCGGCTGCAATATCCTCTTCTCTCTCTCTCCGTGGTCTACGCAGCCCTGCCCTGTCCTCCCCCCCTCCACTCCTCGGCTCAGCTCAGCTCAACCCAGTTCACCTGAACTTCGAGCTCAGATCACTACACCTAGACTCAGTTCCCCATTCTTCCTCCCTGCCCGCCCCGTCCGCTCCCTAGATCACCATCCCCATCACCATCACTCGTGGCTCCTGGACGGTAACGCCAAGCTGTCCGTCGTTCGAAGAACTTGGACACGCATCGCGTGTGAAGGCAACGAAGCCCCGAGACCGATTTTTCCTCGCCTCTCCCTTCTCTCTTTCTCTCCTCACAATCCTCCCCGTGTACTTCCCTTCTCCTTCTGGCCCTTCCTTCTCGCTCATCTCGCCGGTTCACGGAATCGAAGAATCATGAATTACTACGGAAATTCTGGCTACTCTCATCAGCAGCAGCAGCAGCAGCACAACCAGCAACAGCATAACCAACAACAGCAGAGAAATGACTACTATTCTGCAACTCCTTCGTACGCAGCGTCAATCTCAGATCAATCCGCCCAACATCCATCTCATGTAAAGCTTCAGCAGACTCAGACGGTGTTCCATTGCCGGGTTCGTGATATGTACTTCTCGTCGTGGCAGGGCCAGCAGAATCAGCAGCAGAACCAACAGCTGCAGCTGCAACAACAACATTCGCAGCAACCGGAGTCGGTGTGGCAGGGCCACAAAAATCCCAGAGTCTACTTGGGTGAAGAAGTGCACTGCTTCAACACCTACTGCCAGACCACCTTTCGAAACTCTCAGATGCTCGTCGCTCACGTAAGTGAACCCTGCTCTGTGTTTTCGCCATCTTCGTCCTGGATTGAAGCGCTTCTCGGATGCCCGGGCCTCACGGCAGTGGCGGGCAGAGAGAAGCGTTCGTGATCACTGTCCTTCTGTGTTGCTTGTTGTACTCCCTCGGGGTCTTTTGTCATGGTCGCCGGACCGAAAGCCATGAAAAGAATATGGCTTCCCATCCGGCGAAGCTGTGATGCGGGCTGCGATCGAAGGTTTGTTGCTGAATTTTGGTTGGACCGTCGTCAATTATGGAGCATGCGCAGATTCTGCGCGGCGAGTGCGGGGAGATCACAATGGATGAGGTATCGTGTCTGGTGAGGGATTGGAAAGCGCTCCAAATTGAGCTAGGGAGACTGGGAAAGCTGACAGTGGACGAGATTTCGTGTCTGGAAAGAGCATGGGAGCTTCTCCAAACCGAGCAGGCAAAGAGTGGGAAAATTACTCGAGAGCTGATCGGGTTTCTTGTGCTCGCCTGGGAGATTCTGTCTGGAAATCGAAGTAGGTACACTTTAACCCCGCCAACAGCAACTTCTTTAATTCAAGAAACTTCTATTGGAGAAGTGGATCAGACTTGGAGAGCTAGATTTCGGTACTCCACTGGGAACTTGAAGAGGTGAACTTACAATCTTGACCATGTGGCTGCAAGGCAACGAGCAAGTTTTCAATGAGGGTGGATGGACAAGGAAACGCACTCGGAGTTCGGGGTGAAAGCTCTCACAGCATGCGACAGTATTCCAGCGGTGCCCCGCATTAGAATGCCATAGATGGGTGCATATATTTCTCTTTGTATGATCGCCACCGTCTGGGACACTGACCTGTTTCTACACCGAAGCGCCGAATCTTGCAGACAGTGACATGTCCCTGCTCGTATGCGACGGGGGTTTGGAGGATCGATGGCAATTAGAGTGCTAGTAAGCCAGGATCGTGGTGTTGTCATGCCGTCTAGAGTGTCATAATCGGTTCGGCCATCAAGCGGATGCCGAGAGAGATTTTCCAACTCGTTTCCCAAGGTCCCGAAAGGGGAGGATGTGCCGATTCTTCTTCAGGTCCACGCTGCTGCAGCTGACAGTTTTGGCAATTTTGTCACTTTCAGTGGTCCTCGAAACCGAAGATCACCACAAGGATGACATGGATGGTGCCAGCGATAGCGCCGGATGAAGTTGATGACTCTACTGCAGTTCCGAGTTACATGAAGTAGGTTATAATGGGACGCCGTGCCGCGACGTCGTAATCTGCTGTAGGTTTTGAGCGCTCTTGCAGCACTCGGCCCAGAGCAGATTACGAATTGCGGCATCGTTCAGAATCGATTACAAACGGTAGGCCATGTACACCGTCCTCGTCGTCGTCATAGCTATCAATCGGAGTCGTAAGGAGAGCAATTTTTGTAGGTTTGTATTTATTGTAAGAGAATCGTCCGGATCCTTTCCCTACGATCGAGAGATTTGTGGTCGTCAGCAGTACAGTTGCAGTAAATAACGTGAACTGTTTGTTGTACATCATGTGCGATTGAGAGTCTGACCGAGCTTTCGAAATAATGTTGTGGACGTGGGTACCTCGTTCGTGTGACTGTTCTCTGGTCCCATCTCGGCACGCAACACTCCCCATCCAAACCAGCAGGTGTCAATGGCTCATGAGTCTCACATTCGGGAACATTTGCATTCTTCCTCCTCCTGCCACGCCCCCAGTAGTACACTCCACTCTGCAGTCCCCAGCAGCAGTGTGCCCAAATCATGCGTGCATAGATGAATGGCACCACCGCAGGGCACTTGCACAAAGATCGCACCTGTCAGTGTCGAGAATGCGGTATCATGGCCACATGACGTCGCCGGGCAATCACGCACCTCGCATCTGTCATCAAGGCACGATATCAGAATCTTCGAAACCGCAGTTCGCTCGCCCCCTGACTGGCCCGCTGCGCTCGTCTTTCCAAACTCAACTTCCGTCATGTCCGAGCCCAATCAGAGCCGCACCCTCGGGGCTTTTCCGAGTGGCCTAACGGTCCACTCGCCCATCGCCCATCGTCCATCGCCATCTCCATCGTGATCGAATCTGAGCCTTTTGAATTTTCAAATCGATTGTCAAGAGCTTCGTACGACAGTACTCGAATGCAATGTCTCTGCACGAAATCGGGATTCCGCCCATGATACGCTGTCTGCATATACCCCACAATAGCTGAGGGGTGAAGGGAGAGGGAGAGAGCAATGATTGAGAGCTCTCGCTGCCTGCAAACCCCGAGGTAGAGATGTACCAATTTCCTTCGCCCTAGTCCAGACGGACCTTCCCTTTGTTCACGTCATCATGTTGGTTGCGAAGGTGACGATGGGCAAACGATTGACATCGAGAGCCGAATCTCGGATAGGCCACTCGACGAGTTTATTTAGATCGATCCACCGAACCGTGGCCAATACTAGTGTACGCCAGACAGTAATTTGTGGGACGCAACCGTGAAGGGGAGAAGTACTCTTCTTTGCCACAGGGCGTGACGTGCAGTGACATGCTGCAGCGGCACAGCAACCCTCGATGGGCTATGATGGATTTTGTGCGTGCGAAACTAACGCGACGTTACAAACAAACGAATTTCCGTTTAGAAGGGTTAGCTTGCAGCCTGAGGTGCGGGTTTAAGGATGGACGGCCAATGCCATTGCCCTCGACGAGCAGTGGGTATCAGACGTAAATCAGCAATTAAGTCAGCATGATCCTTGTCGCTCTGTATCCTCGCCGAAATATGCCACTGGCGTTCTTAAAGTCCAACGACGAGACGGCCATGTGCTACAAATTTTTTTCAAGCCAAAATCGTGCAGATCATAGTTCGAAAGGGAAAGACGAGTGACTATCTGGAGCAGGGAGGTCTAATAGATCCGGAATGAAACGACCACCCGGAGCAAAGCTTCTTCGAGTTAATGCGAGTGTAACGACAATAGAGTGGTATGAATGCGTTATAGGTACCGGGTCCACGGACGCGATTGAATCGGTTCGTCGTCACTGAAGGAATCTGGGATCATTAAACCGAAGTGGATTACGCGCAGCTGAGCTCAGCAACAACATTTGGGATCGGCTCTTTCGGATGGTGAGTTCTGGATTGGCGAGCATGTGGAGCACAGCGCTCACCCGGCCGCAAAGCCAGCGTCATAGCGTCAACACGGCCCCGGACAACAGAGGATCGATGGCATAGTTCAGTTCCTCTGCAGATCTTGAGCGCGGAGTGGCCATCTGGTGTTCGAGGCCGTCGATAGAACAGCCTATTAATACGGCCAAAGACGTCTCTTTAATGCTCTGGGCCTCGTTATGAGATGCACCACAACAGCAGCGACCTTGTCGTTAACAGAAACTTGCGACACGCGACAAGTTACACAAAAGGCTCCGCGGACGCTCGTCCAATTTGACGATCCCTGCTTGAGGACACAGGGCCTGGACCAGCTCGCGTCTGACTTTTCTGGACTCTAAACACGGCACTTCTCCATCATCGGACAGAGCGCTATCCATCGGAGCAGCAGCACCCATGCAAGAATCCTACCCATAACTCCGAACAAGCTGACAAACAAAATAGCCCTGGGGCCCTGGAAAGCGTCGAGAAGTAAACGCGGGGATCTGGTCGTTCGCGGTAAAAGGGAGGGTAAGTCAGTCCATTAACAGGAGAAGTAACTGAGCTTTTGTGAATCGTGATGTGTGGCTTCGGCTGGATTAGCTCGGGGGGTTGTTGAGCCAAATCCTGAACCATGTTCCTGTTTTCGTTCATATTTTTTGCCGATTTATTTCGGACCCGAGGATCGAGGATCGAGGGTCGATCTTCGATCCAGGTCCATCTGCGGAGCGAGACGGACAGCCTGCACCCGGCCGCACATTTGAAAGTCACTTTACCTCCATGTGCAAGATATTAATTTCACCGAAGCCAGTCAGCAGATCCCAACTGCGAACTTATTTCGTCCCCCTGAAGGTCGTTCATCTAGATGCACAGGTTTAGCGATCCAGCACACAGGGCTTTCTGTTACGGAGCATTTCGTTAGAGACAACAGTCAGTCGTCTCCGATCTTCGTCGGCTCAAGTTTGTTAATCATCAACTAAGTCGTCCATTCGCTTTCCAGTTGTTACTCGAGAGCATGTGATCGCCGCAGTTCTCAACAACAGCCGCAGGTTTCCGAATGACTGAGGTAAAGAATGGGTTCGTTAGATGACGATGTTGGTACGTGTCGTTCAGGACTTTAAGAGAACATGTCGCGCAACAGATCGGTCGACACGCTCGCCACCTACGGGCTTCCCGTCGTGGGGGTAGCCTCGAAAGTCTGTAATGACCGAGCGGTTGAAGCAACTGAGAGAATCAAGACGTGAGGAGCTGTGAGCCCGACTCGCAGAGGAAGGTTTCGTACGTCGGGCGAGAAGATCACTTCGAAATTGAATCATTGGTTTCTGTCCAAACCCTGAAACGCCCCAGAATTAGCTCGTGGTAGACCTCATGAATATCCTGGCATAATCATGTGGAGGAATCTGTTACCCAATGACTGACGACCAATGCTTACATTTCCTCTATGCTAGTGCTTTGCAATCATCTACATCATGTACGTCTTGGGTAAAGAATTTTCTATATATATATTGAGTTCGTGCGCTGAGGCCTACGCTTCTCGAAGCAATCCCTAAGTTGCCTCGACATCTCGGACCAATCTCCGCACTGCCGTCGTTTCCGTCAGCTGTTTACGGCACATGCTTGCACAAGACGTTTCTACCGAACTTCTGGCAATGGGCACATTCTAGGGGATGCTTGCACATGTTGCTTTTCTTGAACGGACCAGTGCAGATGAAGAATTCGAAGTTCGATCCAAAGGCTTCTCAAGTTCTAATTTTTTTTTGAGATCTCATGGGGCACTGGAGACCGGGTGTCATGTCGAGAAAAGTTGTCATGCTCCCACCGCATCCCGGCAGCAGGTAGTTGGAGCATGTAGATAGGGTAGTAAGTGAAAGGTGCCGCCATAATTACTTTGCCGACTTCGTGAGAATTGAGGTACAATAGCAGCCTTAGTTCGACAGAGGGACGATCGGTTCGTAATTAGTGTTTACTGCAAATCTCTGCTTACAAACGTTATAGAAATTACAAAATTCTGCCGCCCAGGCCTTTCTCTCCCGACCAGAGGCTACTGATAGGGATAGGGTGTATCGACCGATCATCCAGATTAAGAACGAGAATTTCTCACGATCCATTCATCGGCTGTGCTGTGCACTGCGCGCATGCTCCACGACTATGATTCTCGAAGGAAGTTTTGGTGGAGGTTTCACACATCGTTCCAGGGCTCTCCTCTGGGTTGAATTCCAGAACTATGCAAGTTTCATTATTATCAACGCGTACGCTAGTGGGCTTGCCCTGCTAAACCTCGCTTGAAAATTCTCCACATGAAAACTGCGGTCGAGAAGGCCAATAGAGGGAAGACCAAGCACAGTGAGCTGACTATGCCCAGCAGGTAAACGAGGTGGTTTGTAGTCAGGACGGTCAGTGCAATCAGAGGACCTGTTCCGGAAGCAAATAGTATCACCACGAGTAGAATCCATCGTCTCTGGATACAAAGCCTTCTCGTGTACCTGGTGTACACTACGTGCAGCGCAAAGCAGATCAGTGACATAAACAGAGTGTCCCACAAGATAATGGCGATGATGAACACAATGTCAACGCCTTCGCGACTCAATCTCCCTGGACCTGACGTCAGAGGAGTTATAGAATCATCGGACCCCATTTCAGGATGAGAGGAGAACGTGAGAAGAACACAGAACTATGTCGATTACTCCAATATCGTCGTGCTTTTGCTGAGAATTATGCCACCTACTCTTACACGAAACTAGCCTCTTGTTGTGAAAGCATTGTCACCAGAACTCTTCACCGGAGCAACTTCACCGGGCGAATTGCGCCGAGTGGAATAAGTCTGGTAGAGAACAAGAATTGCAGAGTGTAATGGTAGCGGCTATAAGCACGGCGAAGTACAGAGAAACGACGGCTAGGCCTGCGGATGGGCATGACCGGGTCTCATTTGGTCTTGTGGTTCAGTGACGAGCCACAGACAGTCTGGGATCGAATGGACGAGCAAGTAAATATGGAAACGGATTCTCTGAGCTGTTCATAACTCACAGCAAGGACTGTACAGGAGGAGATCCTCATAGGGCCGTTTACGGTAGTCCAGCCGACTCCGAGTCCTGCGTCTGCTCAAGCGCAGATGTGCCCTCACTGTGCACGTTCTTGTTGGTATTCTGAGCTGTGTGACTTGTCATCTGTCCTCTTTCGAGACGCACCATACGCAGTCCTTTTGACGACCAAACATTGTGCATCTTGGTGCAAACCAGAACATTTCAAGGGGGGTTTCTGTTCTGATATTCTGTTCTGTCTCTGTCGCAGATGTTACGTTGCACTTGTGCGTTGAAGTGGATTCTGTTCCTTCTGCGTCTACCGCTGGAACCCAATTTACTTCTCCCGTGTCGATGATCTCTGACAC